ATATTAGCATTTCATATCTCAAAATTACCCACGAATCTAGTTTCGCATTTAGGCACTTACGAGTTTCGTACCTTACTCAAACTAGTAATGTTTTGATGCGTAACTTTCGTCGTATAGAAACTGGTTGCAAATTTTTTTCTTAAATTCTTAAAGAACACACACGGGACCAAGAATTGCAACTCGAATTTTCAAACAATAATTGCAGATTCAGCATTTTCATGCTAAGACCACCAAATTCCAAATCTAAACCAGAATTTTGTTTGGCACCCCCGTTTAGGAGGCGTCTTGGCCTTGGGGGTAGAAATTTTGGAAAAAGTTCTTCAAAATCGGGAAGGTCATACCAACATCCTATCCAGAGACGTGCCATCCTTCTTGATTAAAAAAAAATGCAATTTTGATGAGTAGCTTTCAAACAAAACATTTGCACCCATCAATTTATTTGATTGAATTTGATTGCTTTGGTCCCCTCTATCGTCCGATTTTTTGGATACAACTAACACACTGTATGAGATTTACACGGCAAGTAAAAACAATGAACAACTTATCACCTGAAATATAGAATAGAACTATATCATCATTCATCATCATCATCATAGCGCGTACAAAGTCAAGGTGAAACTTTTTCCGCAAACTCCTATTTTGAGGTGCAAAAACCACAAACATTATTTGTAAACGTGGCTGGTGTATCAATTACCTACCGACGTTTAACACTCCATTTGTGATATCGATCCGAGTTTCCTCACCTTCACACTCTTTCAGGATCAAATACAATAAGTTGATCACGCGTGTAGATAGGTCACCTACTGACCTTAACAGCTAGTACTCCTACCTTGCCCTCCGTGCGAAATGAGTGGATAAAATTAAATTAAACAATGTGTGATTTGTACAAAGCGACAGCCATCGGATTTAATTATCCGCCCTAGTGTGTTGTTTTTGTTTTTGTATCTGGATTCGAACTTAAATTGTACCTACCCCGGCGTATATTATCCCTCGCGTTGAATAGGGATAAGTGTCGTTTTTGTGTCCTCTTGAAAATTACAATTCTGTTGTTTTACAATCCTGTCGTTGTTAATTAATCCATTTCGTCCCGTTTCATGTTTGTTAACTAAATTAATTTCCGGTGCTACCTAAACAACACCATCGTATCTTTATGTTGGTTTACACCCGAAGTTTAAAGTTCTACGTACAGTGTGAGGCATAGGTGGTCCTAAATGGGTGATTTTAAAAAATAAAAATTAATGAGAAAACACTGGCTAAAGGTAGAGCTGGTGGAGATCAGAGAGGCGCTGTCGTAGGTATACAAGGTGACTCAATATTACTTTGATAAACTGTGAGAGCACGTTCCCCACACCAAAACAACAAAGAAACTTCGCATTTAAACATATTTTCGGCAATCCTTCATTTTACAGTGATTCACTAAAGTGTTTGCCTAACATATGCATCCGACACCCTCAGGGGATTTTTGAAAGGGTGCGCACGCCCTGATTTGCCGAGTGCGTGCATGTATGGTAACAAAAGGAGGATATTTTGAACATTTATTATGATTTTCTGGGTTGATGACATTTTCAACCTAACAATGTGTCGAACATCAAGTTGCAGTAATAACTTTAAAATGAAGATTTTCGGCATATAGTATATATAGTATAGGAAGTTTTTTTTGTTTTGGTGTGAGGAACGTGCAGAACGGTATTATCTAATCCTGTATAGGGGTAGTAGTTACTGTAAAATCGCGGACGGATGCTTCGGAGTCGGCGGCGACGCTAGTTCTTGATTCGACGGACTACATAAGCACTAGCTTTAAACCTAGCAACAATCTACGGCACAATTTTTTGTACACAAATTATCTTATAAATAATCATAATGGACCCATAAGCTGGGATATTTTGAACAAACTAACTTTAAAAGCGAAACTGATTTTCTCTCAACTCCAATTCTGATGAGTTCCCAAATGGTAAAAATGCATGCAATACAAACGGCTTCAAATTTGCCTAGAAGTTGATATCTTTAAGGAAGCACAGATCCAATTTTCATTAATAAATTTTAAACTTGCAAGTTACAACGATTTTTCTTAAACCCCTAATTTTTTAGTTCTGCACATGAAACAAGCTCGATCGGCCCTCCTTACATCGAAAATATTTCGGGAAGTGACTGCATTGTCAGGCTAACTTTGTGATTATTGATGGTTTTTCTTTGCCCGGGCAAACGCCCTCTCCTCCCCACTTCTATAATACTGTTTTCGTTGGTTTCACGGATTCTCGTCATCGAATACTACTTTATTTTAAAACACCCCCGCTACTCCAAAAAGGCAACACATTTTCTGTGCATCTCCTATATCTATATCTTTTATTGGAATCCATCAGATAGTTTACCCTTAAATTATTTCAAGTAAGGAATAATTAATTACACGTATAATATGTATATTGAACCAGGTACACCATAATGAATTTATAATGAAGTTAATAAAGCTAATGAACGCTGTACATAAATTATTAATCCCTCACGTTATACTTCATTGAATTTTATGATGAAGTGATCTTTCTGACAATGATGCCATTATTTACGAGCGGTAAATATAAAACCATCCATCGTCTTTGCGCTTATCCCGCAGAAGAGATTGACAGCTAATTTTCAGTTATTTTCCAAATTTCCCAGTGCGCAGTATGCTATTAAGAAACTGTTTACGGTACAATGGAAATGGTGACTGATGGTTATAGAAATCCCACTGTTAAATATAATTTGGTGGAGATTAGCTAAAGCAGGATTATTATTAATTACAAATTAATTAATTAATATTATTATTATAATCTCTGTATTTTACGGATAAGAAACAACTATGGTCGGTATTTTTTTCATCGCTATTTCGATTGTACATTGTACAGTGCGTAAATTTTAACTCTAAACATACAAATCTCCCATGTACATCGTAAGTCATATACCCCTTAAGATATGCAACCAATCTTACCTACTTAGATCAGTAATTATTATATTCTTAATAAAATGTATACAAAAGTAGAAAAAATAGAAATGTTCCAGATGTATTTCAATAATCACAGGATTCATTTGCTGCTAAATATCCCAATAAGCATAATCCGTCAATTGGCAATTCTCAACAGCAAAAAATTTCAGGTTGGTGTTTCAATTGTTAATGAACGTTACATCAGAAAAAGAACTTGCCGTGTTTTAATTGTAGAAATGAACTACGTAGAAAAAATTCAATTATATCACGTTTGGTAATTTAGCTAGGGAATTTGAAATTTCACACATGTCCGTATTGAATTGAAAGTTTCTTTTATTTACACTGCTGTCCAATTTGTGTGAGGTGGGTTTCATAACTGTCAGTCATATCAATGCATTGACTTGTATATTTAAGAATTTAACATAAGAGATTTGTAGGTATGTTCAAAGTTAAAATTTACGCACCGTATATAATAAATATACAATGCTATTACACTGAAAGAGCGCTACAATGAGTAATGACTACCAATTACAACCACTTCTTTTCATAGTAGGATCGAAACCCCCATTCTCTTGTAAATCTAGTCATTTGTTTTTTTTCTTGGTCCATCTCAGTTGTATCAGCAAATCAAAGATGCTAATGGTAAACCTCTGTTTTTCTATGTGTTCTCGTTATAAATCTAATTTAAGTACGTAAAAACGACTAAGTCAACGAAATTCTCATACTCTCAATTATAAAACCACGAAACTTGGGCCTATCCTGGGAAGTAAATTAATTACACAGACTAAAAATTAATGAAAAATAAATCTTTCCGCGACCTACGACGTTTCAATTTTCAGCTTCAGTTTACAATTTCAGTATTCAGTTATTTTTGAATGTATAGCTTTATCTAATGTTTTGGTATAATGCGTCGTTCTACAGTTTCGGTCTTCAGTTTGTGTTTACAGCTTCATTTATAACATGATAACATCGTTTTACATCCGTTTTGTTTCAAGAGGTTCAAGAGTTTATATGTATGGCTTACATTAAAATTTACAGTTTGTGGTTTACTGGTGTACAGCATAAGGACATATACAGGGTGGTGACTTGCGTAACGCATCATAGGGATTTCAATGTAAAATTCATAACATGCGATTATTGGCTCCCCAAATTATTTTAGAGCAAAAATGTATTAAGGTTTTTTGTAGAAAAAATTTTTTTACGCCAATCAACCGTATAATTTTTGCATACTAAAGGCGGAAAATTGGAAAAATAAACCCCCATCTTTTTCAATAATCTGCGATGCCATGGAATTTTATAATACAAAAACTACTAGTTACAACTGTACTGACTGCTAAAGTTGAAAATTTTGGTTTTAAACAAATTGAAGAAGAAAAAATTTCGACGGATACGGTAACCAAAAACTTAAATATGTTACCGAACTAATTAGAATTATTAATTTAATAAGGGGTATATTTTGTATAAATAAATAGTGGGTTATATCGTGACCACCTTTACGGTGGTAACGGTTATATACGATAGCATTTGGAGCAAGCATTTTTGCCTAGAATAGATATCGGTTTCAGGGGATGATTTATTGGGGCTTAGCTGTTTTAGCAAGACGAATAATTGGGGTGTAGCCAAAGGGGTAGAGATAATTTTTTTTGTAAGCTGCGACTAATCTTATATTTTGTTCAATGTTACTTAATAAATTTATGTACAGGGTGTTGATTATTGTGGAAACTAGTGGGGATATCAAAAACAAAACTGTCCCTTAAGGGTCAAGTGTAGGGCAACTTAATTTTTTCAAATAAAAATCTATATTTTATTGAATATTCTTATTCTAAAAGCGTTATTTTTGGTTTGAGCTGGTGGACGCTCTTCTGCCAATAACTTGGCGCATTTTTTACTCTTCACTTTTACTGATTATTAAAATAATTTTAGATACGCATAATCCAAAATTATAAATCGGGATCAATCCCTCTGTTTATAACACGTATTCATACACTCATAAATACTAATGTAATAGTTTCAGATGAGTATAGGTGTTTTTTTTTTGTTTCAGGTGCATTTCTAATACCCTTCTTCATAATGTTAATATTGGAAGGCATTCCACTATTCCTAATCGAACTTGGAATCGGACAAAAGATGCGCCTCGGATCGCTGGGGGTGTGGAACACGATCCACCCTTGGCTGGGCGGTATCGGAATTTCGTCGTGTACGGTAACATTTTTCGTCGCCCTTTACTACAACGTTATAATCACGTGGTGCTTTTACTACTTCTTCAACAGCTTTCAGGTAAGTCGCTTTACGTTTACGAAACTATCATCCTTTATTCAATCAACTTTAGTCGCCCCTGCCGTGGGCGAGTTGTCCCAGTATTAATACCACAGGCGGTCTGGAGTGTGCGACGTCGTCGGAAACGGAATACTTCTGGTACAGGACGACTCTCGACGCCTCGCGGTCAATTACGGAACCTGGATTGCCAAAGTGGTGGATCGTGCTTTGTTTGTTATTAGCGTGGCTAACTGTATTCTTTATTGTTATGAAAGGAATTCAAAGTTCCGGAAAGGTAACGGAAGCAATCATGCCTTATTTTGTACTTTCTCTCTTGATGTTTGCAGGTTGTTTATTTCACATCTCTATTTCCGTACATAGTATTGACAATATTTTTTATAAAAGCGCTTACATTGGAAGGTGCCGGTGTGGGTTTGACCCACATGTACACTCCAAAGGTAAAATTCCCTTTTCGTTCCTAGGCGGTAACAGTATCTTTTCAGCTTGAAAAGCTGTTAGATCCAAGAGTGTGGCTTGACGCCGCCACACAAGTATTTTATTCGTTTGGATTGGCATTTGGATCAATAATTGCATTTGGTTCCTACAACCCTCCAAAGAATAATTGTTTTAGAGACGTCATTTTAGTATCAATATGTAATGCGTTTACCGCAATCTATGCAAGTGCGGTAATCTTTTCCATTCTTGGATTCATGGCTGTGACAAATGTTCCAAAATGTATCGAACGGTAAGGTTTCTATTCATTTCTCGTATTGATAATTTATTCATTCATGGAAGATCAATTTTTGTGATATAATAAACATCAAATCAATCAAAGTAAACGCCATTTCAAAATTATTTGAGGTATCTTTCGAATTCTAGAGGGGATCTTCCTTAATCAAAATAAAAAAAAAATCAAAAGAGAGACAGGCTTGGTTATGTTACCCCAAACATAAAATCATATTCTCAATTTAAATAAAAATTCCCTTCCAACTTAGTTTTACGAAATGTAAAAATACCAAAAACGTGCAAAGGGTGTTCTTCAAATCCTGAGTGTGACGACATGAGGAAACTGTGGCGATATATTTCGTGATGTAGCCATGTCGAAAGCTCCCGCGCTAACAAGAAGCGGGAAACAAAAACCTCGCACTCAACAATGGCCGGATTCCCTACGGTTGTAAAAAAAAACAGATCGCACTCATTCGTACGCAAGGTTTTGTGGCCCTTCTCCAATTCAGAATGTATCTAAGGCCCTGGATATTGTAGGTAGCTCTTAGGATAAAGTAAAAAATGGCACTAAGTAAATTTTAAAACTTCAGCATTTGCCTCTACAGGGACGAAACAATTAATTACATTCAGAAAAGGGCGCTTCGTACACCAAAAGATTGAAGTCACAATGAATCACTAATTATTTCTTATGATGGGTTTATCCTATCATTATCTTATTAGATCATTAAGAACCAGCAAATAAAAACTAAAGTGTATTCTGCCTCGCTAACCAACGAAACCATACATTTGTTTCTATTGGCTATTTCGTAATGTTCTAATGATAGTGAACTAATGATAATGATTGTACAAACCCACCATTATTCTGTCACTCTTCGGAGTGTTGGCCTGATAAGTACCTATACACGCAACTAGTCGATTATTATTGAATTATAGTCCGAGCTCTAGTCCGAAAACAGAATTCGAAAATTCGGTTTCGTTCTCAACTGGAAACATTTAATTTAGCAGGAGCTAATATCACCACCCGCTAAATAATAGACTATTAAAATAAAGTTCGTGTACCTATCTGTTGCAATTAGTTAACTTTGAAAGAAATATGAAATGTTTGAACTTATGTTTTAATCAATTTCGAAGGCGAATTTTATTTAAATTGCTGAAGTTCGAATTAATTGAAGTTTTCTAACTAATTTGTCTCTCTTTTGTGTTGAACATTGTTTAACAATTCTGTTTTTTGTACACTTTGCTAAAATTTAAATTACTTTGCCTCAACAACATACCGAGACGTTAGGAACTGCAACTCAGTTTTACTAGTGTCGTGAAATTTGATTGGCGTAAACAAAGTATCATTAAGCACGAACGAATAGGATGTTAGGTAGAATAATTACAATATATTTTGATAGTATGTAACCGCATTTTAGTAACAAATTGAAGATGATTGCAGAAGAAATTATCGGTCAGAATGCAACGGAAGAGATCTACAACTCTGCCCTGGCCAATATCTCGAGTGAGAGATTTGACTATTTGAAATTGCAAAACTGCTCGCTATCGCATCAACTGGAAAACGTACGTATTCTAAAGCTAAACTGCTACCATTTTAACTATATGTAATCATTTAGGCGGCCGAAGGTACCGGTCTCGCATTTATTGTCTTTACACAAGCAATTGTCGAACTTCCTTGGGCGCCATTTTGGGCGATTATATTTTTCCTAATGTTATTGGCTCTCGGTTTGGGTTCTCAAATTGGAATGTTGGAAGGGATGTTATGTACACTTTTCGATATTGAAATATTTAAAAGGATGAGCAAACCTCTGGTTACAGGTAACTAAATGTGGATCTCCAAAGGTAGTGCGTTACTAATGGAATATTTGCAGGTGTACTTTGCCTGGTTTGCTTCCTGTTGGGGTTGGTATTTACGACAGGCGCTGGCGGATACTGGTTAAAGATGTTTGATGCTTTTGCTGGAACGGTTGGGCTGGTCGTGGTTGCCTTTACAGAAATGGTGGCGATCTCGTATATTTACGGTTGTGATAAATTTATTAAAGATATATACGAAATGACAGGTTATAAACCTGGATTGTTTTGGAGGGTCACGTGGCGATATTTGGCACCGGCGATCATGCTGGCCATCTTGGGTTCATCTTTGGTATTTATGTGCATTGAGCATCCACAATACCACGCCTGGACTCCCGAATTGGTAATTAAAGTTCTCGCTGTGATGCGCAGATATTTATAGTCTGTTTCAGGGGCAAACCACGCCAACCGATTTTCCAGGATGGGCGCTGGCAATTGCAATTTTGATGGTTTTGGCGGGAATACTACCAATTCCAATGGTATTCTTATTGAGACGTTATCAATGCTTGAAGATAGATATAAATATACACGAAGGCTCCATTAGACGAATAGACACCACAGTTTCCACCAAGGAAATGATGACGGATGTAGACGTAAGTTATTTTACAAATTACCTTAATTCAATTTAACTCGTCTTACTAACCGCTGTAGTTGGTTATTGCTAAAATAATATCTTCAGGACATGTGGCCACAGTAGGTCCTACTAATACTAACACAATTTCGTTAAACAGGAACAAATAACAAGTCCAGACGGTCCCGACCTTACTACCACGAATACTCTCAAAAACAAATTCACTATAGGTGACTTTGAAGTGTAATTGTAAGTAATTTTCGGCTTTTCAATAAGCCCTTGCATGCAATGTTTATAATGCAATGCACGCAAATTGTGATTCATAAACGACTCAAACATTAGAGCACATCGCAATATTATAACTCTTTTTGTGTTAGGAATCATATATGTAGGAATGCATGATATATTGTTCCCAGACCACGTAGGTACCAAGTTCAGATACTACCATGGTAAGTACCTAGTTACACAAATGATTGTCATTCGTTTACACCAAACAAGAAACATTCACTATCACACCTAAGTACAGTATGTTGTGAGATGATTCATTTCTCATGCCTTATAAAAAGTCCTGCTTGTTCCAAAACGGCAAATGCACCATTTAGTTTTCCTTTAAAGTGAGCGGTTTCAAATAAATTGAAAAAAACCTGCCTTGGAATATCAAAATCTTATCCAAAATTCACACATAATTAAGAATCAAGTAAACCTTAATTAACTAATGACAAATGTATAACATTTCGGGTACGCTCTACGTAGATCTTTTATACTGTCTAAAAGTACCTGAACTACTTTGGCATTGTGCATACTTGATTTTATCTGTCAATATTTGGACTTTTTTGAAATTTTGAAATGTTTCCTAATAGGTTCTTTTTTCAATTTCTTAGAAAACCCCGCATTTTAAAGGATGACTAAATGGTGTTTTTGGAGCTTTGGAACACAGTGCACCTCATCTAAGGGCGTACTGTATGTTTTATAACAAGGCCATAGTTGGGTAATAGATATAGATACCAAATCTTTAAAAAATATTTTGTAAGACAAAAACTCATTTTTAAGACTCCTTTGTGAAGATGTAAACTGCTAATCGTTTTTGAAATTTCATATTTCTTTGGTTTCATTGGTCAAAACGGCCAACCTATGAGAGCGTAGCATCCCTGGTCACAAACGTTTAAAAGGATAGCTCCGAACTTTGCAAAGCCAATTCCAATTTGTAAATATATTCCATAAAACGCAACAGCATTTTGTTTAGCTTCGGCCGCTAAACTTGTAAGCAGTCTTTTTTTAAATGGGACATTGCATATTTTATTAAAAAATTGGAAAGTCCTAATTTTTTTATGTAAGATATATTATACCCTTCATGTTTAATTTACCTTCAGCAAATATCATATTTTTTTTAAATATCTGTCAATTCCCTTGATATAATTTTCAACACATCTTGAACCTGTCTTTCGTCTAACAAAGCTCCTACATAAAATTTCCAGTTATTAACGTTGTTTGCCGCAAATTGGGGCAATATTACACCTGAACCGGATGCCATTTCTACAAATTAACCCTGATTATTTGATTCTTTTTACGTTCTAATTACTTTAGAGTTCTGGACCCATAAGCTAATGGCTTACATCATTGATGTCAATGGTAGTGAGAATCTACAAGGGTGTTTTCAGGGGTCATGTTCCATGTTCTCCGATGCGTCACTGGTAGATTGTAAAATAAGAATTTGGTTTTCTCGTTTGTTTGGAAACTTTTTGGTGTTTTGTGTATTTGCGACCGTTATCGAAAAAATCACTTTTCAGCCATTGTTTAAACGAAAGTAAAACTTTTAAAATGATCAAGTAGGCCCTGGGTTTTATTTGGATTATCTTTTGTTTTTCTAGGTTTGGCAGTTCGCCTTTTAAATTGTATCTTGTGTTTGCGTATGTTTATAAATTAAAGGTCTAATTTGTAAAATGGACGGCCAAAATACCTTGTAGATCGGTAACGTAGCGTTTGTAAACCTATGTTTATATGAATTCTTAGTCATAAAATAAACCAAAGAATTAGCCCCTTCCGTATTTACATCATATTTAGGAACACCCTGTAATATATGTGGTCGTTCGTTTGACTCCTCGAAAAGGTTTTTCTGTAAAGGATATAAGTTTCGCTCGCGTTGGATGAACTCTAGAGAAACTTTCGAGAAAAGATTCCACCCTTCGAATCTATAATCTACAACGTTTTATGTTTCGGGAATAGACTTTTTTTTCCTTGTAGGTACCACGGTTTGCTCTTGTTAAATCTTCACCTCAGGAAGATAGGAAGGTAAATAAAACAAATTTACGTATTTATTAACAAAATTGTTCTTATTCTTGCTGCAAGAAAAATACAAGTTAATAAACGACAATGAATCTTAAAACAATCGTTTAACTTTTCACCTCAAATAGATTCAGTTTATTGATTGGAAATGAATGTTTAATCTGTCGTTATTCAACATCAAATTAATGTAAAAATAGAGCGAGAGAATAATGTTACGCCTTCTTAAGAAAAGGTATACTTTGTACAAATAGTACTTTTGGGCGGCGATCATCAACTAACAAATTTATTATGTAAAAAGTTACTACGCAAAATGTATCAACTACTCGATGCTCATGGAGGCGGACGCGGCTCGCGATTGGTCGACGGTCTTCCGGGTAATTCTCTTTTGATCTCCTCGTCAACGGAAACACCTTCTACACTGGGTCTGGTGTAGAGAGCGATCGAAGGCCTACTTCTTCTGCATATCTTGTCGCAAGTTTAAAGTTTAAAATTGCCACAAAAACGGCGCCATGGACGATGGATCCTCTGGATTTTCTGCACATGCGCGGTAACTGTGACACCACGGTACTTTCTTTTGATTTGACAATATCTTTACCAGTCCAATCGACGAAAATAATCAGGAACTCATGACGTCATGTGCTTATTAAAGCAGGAAAACATTGGCAAATTTATCACTCTTTTTTTAACCGTAATTTAACCATAATTTGATCTTGAATCATTTTAAAACTATCCTATTCTACTTACTTAATAAATAGAAAAAAGTCCCAAAATTTCTCAACAAACGTATAAACAATGATTCATAAGTAAATTATGCGAATATCAAACTTCGACAAGATTCGCTGCTTTAAAAATATCAGTTTATCGCACGTACGTCGTACAGACTGGTGGACAATACTACCACATAACAGGATCTGAACATCCTTCATCAAATGAACTCTATTTGTAGAAGCTGGAACGAAACAGAAATGTTTGACTTTGAAGCATCCAACCATATCTATTAAGATTCTTCCCGCCGTCGTCGTCTAATATTGATCATTTCCGCTGCTAGGCGGGCAGCCCGGGTTCGATTCCCGGCCGATGCAGATTTTTTTATTATTTTTATTTATTTTAATATTTTGTTTTGTTAATTTTTAAGAACTTTGTAATATGTTTTTTGGTGTCCCGTATTTGAGAATACATCGCGTTCGAGATAAGTCGGTCACCTCAATATCTCTTTAGATTAGAAAAAATGATTAAATATAATTTTGTATGCGACATCACGGTCTATTCGAAGGAATAGTAAAACTTCCGCCATCGCTTCCGGTTAAACCGGAAACCGATGCAACTTTTGTTTTTCAAATGCAATGCCTGTTTTTTTAAATACGAATTTTTGAAAAGATATAAAATATGCAATATGGTTGATATACAATAAATTTGCTGTGGCTAGCACAGATACCACCCACACACCTGCGTATGCGCGATTCTGCCTTTGTATGTCTAAGAATATGTATACCAAATTTTGTTCCAATCGGTTTACCCGAAAATGATAGTACATACAGACAGACAGACCGACAGACCGATCGACATCGCTAAGATTTAGAAGATTTAGAAAACTCATGAAATCTCGCATGCCATTTGCTGACAGGATGCGCAGCATCTGTTGTGCTGTACAGAAAAGACCTATGTAACACAACAAACACCGCGCATCCTGTCAGCACACGGCATGCTAGAATTCCTAAGTTTTCTAAATATTGAATCACGAATTTTTAAATTTTTTTTTTATATCAACCATTACCTATAGGTTCGAGGAAAACACTGTTTATGACAAAATTTCCATACCAATCTCTTCATGCGTTGCGCACACGTCACAGTGGTTAAATTTCAATTTAATTGCTTCTTTTACGTTCGTCGCCTATACCCTATTAAGGGGAAGGTTGCGGAATTTTCGCAATTTGGTATAATAGGGTAAATACATAAAAACAATGTGTCATGCCATATCAAATTTTAGGTGGGTGTGTAGTTAATTGTTAGATTAGAGCAGACAGAATTAATGCATGAATTTTATCATAACAAATATTCTGCTCAAACCCAAAACTCATTTTTCTGAATATTTTTCCGAAAGTAATTTCCAATCACCATATAATTTTCATACTTACTAAAATATATCAAGAATACGCGACCTTGACCTTGCGAATTCGTTTCCAAAACTTTTACTTCCGAAGAACAAAACTAGTTTATTATAATGGAAGTTCATTCAACTCTGCTACTCCCAGTTTGTCACATAGGGTTGCATAATGCTTGAGCTTTAACACTTGCATGGATTCTTTTATACGCATAATTTAATAAAACTATTCGCCCATACATTTCTCAGCATCACTAAAAGTTTGATTTCAAGACAAAAACACATGCCCTTTTCGACCCTTCTCATAATTCATTTATTATATTACCTTCTCAATAATGCACATTTGTTGATATATGCAAGCTACTATAAGATCGTCTCACGTAAAAAAGGAATCGGGAGAAAGTAGTGTAACCTCCCACTAAGTTTATTGTTCATCTCAATGTCGCTGTGCTTTGAATAAAGATAGGTATAAAACTGGTAATTATTCGGGCCGTTGGAACCACCCTCTAGACTCCCAATGAATGAGCGAAGTGTTTATAACCGCATAGATGTTTATAATTTGAATGGTCAACTGTATAAGCATTCAAATTATAAACATCTATGCGGTTATAAACACTTCGCTCATTCATTGGGAGTCTAGAGGGTGGTTCCAACGGCCCGAATAATTACCAGTTTTATACCTATCTTTATTCAAAGCACAGCGACATTGAGATGAACAATAAACTTAGTGGGAGGTTACACTACTTTCTCCCGATTCCTTTTTTACGTGAGACGATCTATAGTAACGCCCGTATTTTTCTTTCTTTGTAGATGGACGAGTACGACGCCGATCGCCTACCAGAATATCGCGACAATTCTGATAGCGACGACGATCCACCAGTCAATAAAAGTAATAATGGGAAAGTTTTCCGTATGGAAGTGATGGATGATTATTAAAGAGATGCTCAATTTGTTTATTGTAATTTATTTTTCAATTAACGTCCGCTTTATTTAATGTATAGAGGAGTTATAATTATTGAACAAATCGATATTATAATAATTATACTGTCAACTTAAATAAATGTTGAATAGTTTTATAATCAATGTTTTCATAAAGTTAAAGTTTTTAAAACCATATTTTTCTATTTCATGTGCTGTAATAATGTTTATAGTGATTTTAATGTAAATTAGTAATATGTGATAGACATGCAAATATTATTGTTAGTGTCATAGTAATGCATATTACGTTACCAATTTTTTAATGGTTGTGTATTGTCATTGTGCACTTTAAATTGCCCATCCACTTTCTAATTTCTCAATGGTAAAAACCATGCTAGTTTCTAAGAGCATCTTTTTAACGTCGATGCATTATCGTTAACATAGCTATTTAGCATTTGTTGATGTAAACAGTTGACTTATTTCATTTGTAAATAGTGTACATATCTATAAGTACTTAATTTATAGTAATTTTAGTAAATTAGTATTTTAGTTAGATTAGGTATTTGCCTTGGAGTTTTAGGCCAAAGCCTAGTGCGCGTCATTTAGGAACATAAAGAGATTTATCTCGGCTTAAACTCAGTATATATATCTTCCTGTAAAACTAGCTACCTTACAAAAAATACTTCAAACCCCTTTAATAATAGTAAATCAAATCAAGCATGCAGGGTGATAACAACAAAATAGTGTGGAACATAAAATGACAATACTTTCAGCTGTGTATTGATACATCGTTTGAGAGGATGTGTTACAAACCCTTAAATTATTACGTACGGTTAGTTTTTACCTGATAAATTGGAACAGTAGATATTTTTTAATCCGTAAACCATAATTTCATTAGAAACTCATTGTTTTAAATTCAATACAGCGATCTCTCTTATGTTCGTAGAGGATGATCATTTAAGGGTAATTGTCACGATTTAGAATACGGCTGTTGGAAATTATAGCTATTGTAACTAGGTTTTTGAAGTTTTGATAGAGACAAATCGAAAGCGTTATTTATTATATTTAGATAAGTATATGTCAAACAGCAACAATTAGTTTTTGCTACTCGTTTCCTATGTGTAGATCGAAAATTTAGACTCTTTAGTTACAATTTACGATTTAGTAAAACTAAAATGTGGTAATAAGTTACCTTTTCGCCTTTTAAAGGCATCAATATGAAAATAAGTATTACAAATGGCAAAATAACTCAATTAATGGTCTTATCTAGATGTGTTATAGCGGTTTCTGTAATAGATTTTTTAGCATTTTATTTTTCAATAAAATTTGAAGCAGCCCACTTGAATTTTTAATATCGACAAGTCCAATAAATCCATACCTAAATTTAATTCGAACCGAGCCTAGGCACTCAACGGCGATAAGATGAGACGACGGATTTGACTCGCAGCGGACTTCCATTACGCAGTTTTCGATGAAAGATTCCCATGACTTCGAAATGGTACGTATGAGTACGATAAACGCCACGATTAGGGAGGCGGCGACTCGAATCACGAGGAGATACGATAAAAGGGTAAGTGTTTGTTTACAGTGAACGTATACGTAAATATTATGGTTAACTCGTACATATCCGTATCGTTTCCGTAAATTTACTTCGCTGTTTACTTAGTTTACAATAAACCAAAGATCATAATAGTATGATCTTTGTCGGTACGTAACTTTGAAACCTTTTCAACCTATGCGACTATGCGCAAGACTTACATATCGCTTACGTATACCTAAGTACGTAAAAATTACGTTCATTGTAAACACCATCGTATGTTTATATACCTACAGTTAAACTTTGCGAAATTTTTACGATTTATGTATTTCTTACGTATACGTTCATTGTAAACAAGCACTAACATATGCTTTGTTTAAAATATCTCACAAACATCAATCTGTTTCCAAAGAAACGGCGTGTTTCTTCTTCAAAAAATCGGGTCACTGATGTGAAAAGTATCAAAAATACGACTAAAGCCCGTTTGTAACGATCACTTAGGTATTTAGTCAAATTTTTAGTCCTTTTTTTCTTCAATAATGTTATCCTAAAAATGTCATAAATGATGAAACTGTATGTAACATTCCATAATATTGTCAATTTTTTAGTACCGGTAAAATGTAAACATTTGTATATAACCTATGTTATATTAAATCTGGAGAGTAAATATTTATCTTCGGTAAACTAAGGTCTCTATCTACTGTCAACGTATTAGTGAGCTTTAAAAATGAATATAAATTTAATTTTAATTTTACAAATTCCCTATAATCTGTCAAAAGTTACTAAAAAATTGAGGGAAGAATAGGACAGGTTCTAAACATTACAAAAATAGGACAACTTTCAGTTCCTAAAATAACTACCAAAAAATTGATCAAAGTTGATGTATGAAATGTTCAATTTTTTTGTTCCTAAAAAAATTATTTAAAAATTGACTAAATAAGGGATCGTTACAAACGGGCTTAAAGGTAATATATTGCAGAAGATCCCGAAGTTATGTTCATTACTAAAAACAGTACCTATGCACCACAGTGACTGCATTCTTGATTCAGGTGTGACCAGACACATCACCAATAACAGGAAATTAGTTTCGTCATTCGATTAATCATATTAACAGTGTTAAAGGTGAAAAGTAAACTGACATTATTTGCTTTGATAGAAGAAAAGTTACGAAAGAAGATTAATAGTGATTCGATTGAAATTACTTTTTATTGTACCAACGAAAATGTCAATCATTCTCTAGACGCGTTTCCAAAGCCGTAATCAATGTATATTACAGCTACGAGGTAAACATTGCAACGCTCCAATTGTCTGACAATGACGATTCACCATAATGTATAAGCTCCACGCACGAATAACTCCAGCAGTCGATTGTTGTGATCGATTGCTCACTGCTTTCATTCATTTTTAGTGAACAAACCAACCGCATCAAATGTATACTTTATTGCTGAATGTACACTATCAGGAAAGTTGCCTTCTCTTCCACTGTCCACTTATTTGTATCTGCGGCGGCCTCAAACTGCCTCAAGTAGGTGGACAACGGTCATTTTCCATCGAATGCGTAATCACATCCATATGCTTCTAGGAAGTTCCACCTAGGGGGCGAGGGCCGCTCGGATTGATTTGGCCTAGAGTCGCACGTACCCTAAATCCGGGGTGCTCTATGCAAACTCTTGAATGCCCTAATGTTATCCTGTGCATGTGTGACGATCAATATTCAATAGTAGGTACGTGAGGCACTGCCTGCATAAACGTGTTATCAGACACACAACTTTATTGTTTGTTTTGTTAGGATAGGTTGGTTTTTATATTTTCAAAAAAAAGCAGAATGAGTGATATTGTAATAACATTTTTTGAATGCCTTTTCGTAAATGAATAATTTTATTCCTTTTTTAGAGCTCGTCAAGTAAAACGGCTGAACAATGGAGTAAATATGCAAAATACTACGATCCTATTAAAATCGGCTCTATCGATGGTACTGATACAGAACCACATGACAAGGGTGTGATTAGAGCTATTAATTCCGATTATGCTCCGAATAGGCATGTGAAAGGCCTTCCAGAATGTACAATTTTTGTTTCCCGTTTAAGTCCGAAGACTACTAAGGACACTATTAAGGAGGTGTTCTCCAGATATGGGCGTATACGAAGGTTTCGCGTAGTTAGGGATATTGTTACTGGTATGCCCAAAGGCTACGCCTTCGTAGAGTATGAATCCGAGCAGTCGGCCGAAGAAGCATACAGAAAAGCAAATAAGTTGGTAGTCGACGGGCAAATGCTATTTGTAGACTTTGAATGTGAAAGGTTACTGAAAGGATGGAAACCGAGGAGATTAGGTGGCGGATTTGGCGGACGGAAAGAGTCTGGTCAGTTGAGGTTTGGAGGTAGGAATAGACCGTTTCGAAAACCTATTGATTTAGAGCTAAGTTCTAAAGAACACCTTGACAAGTACAGACGAGAGAAACTAGATCGTAAGGATTCCGACAGGCGGCACAAAAGCAGTAGAAGGCGTAGTCCTGAGCGTAGAAGATATTCGTCTGATAGGACAGATTAACTGTAATCGTATTTATTAATTTGGTAATAAACAATTTAAAAGTAGTGAGGATGTAACGTTTCTGTAACATCTATTTTAAATAGGTAATAAATAGATTACCTATAGTATTTTAAATAAACTTATAAAAACCATTTTATATTTTGTATTTGAAATAGATTTCTTAAAGTATTTTATATTTGAAACATTTCTGAACCTTTAAAAGGTAATACGTGTGGAAATACTGTATAAACACCACCAATAAATATTATTATTAATTTTACCCAGCTCTGCTCATCTAGAGTGTTGACATCGCGCATTCTAAATACCTTATGTTACGTTGAAAAATGTAAATATCCGCAAACCATTCGTCGATAGTGGACAAGTAATTCATTCGAATGAATTGTCTTCAATGAACGAATTATTTGCAATTTCGGTGATCCAAACGCGTTTGGATTGTCAAATGACGTTCTTTTGAAGTGTGATCTTATAATCATGATTGCTAAAATCGTGAACAAACTGAACATAAAACTTTTATGATCCCGAATTCCTAATCTATAAATGCAATGCAAGGATATGTGTACTCAAATGTTGGGTTAGTCCAATATTTGTAACTGAAGAGGAGCTAAATGGTGCAAGTACTTCTACTTCTATTTAAATTATTTTCATAATTCAAACAAAAAAACCGTAATTCGAATGCAAATGTGTACTACGTAAACTTAACCATACTTTGATTTGAATTCGCGCGTTCTTTCGTAAAACGTGATTCTACGAATCACGATCTCGAAATCATGATCGCGAAGTAGCCGAAAGAAAGCCCTCTAGAAAGTGGAATTACTGTTGTATAATATTATACCGATGTAATGAAGGTAATCTAGACACATCCAGAAAACCATTTTTTTACGTATACAGCGCCACAGCCCACAACCACTCATTTGTTTTGAAAATTTTGAATTTTAAATTTAAATGCTAAAAATAAGAAAACTTGTTATAGGAATATCGGGTGGAGTTGACAGTGCTGTAACTTCTTTATTTTTAAAAAATAAAGGTAAAACCATTACATAGCTCGCGGTCTATCTTTGTAGTTGAAAGAATCCCTTTATTTAGGTTATAATGTAGAAGGGGTGTTTATGCAAAACTGGGACATCAGAGATGAAACTGGCGTTTGCAAATCAGATGAGGATTATAAGGATGCGAGTGTTATATGTGAAAAGTTAGGTATTCCTCTATTGCGAGTCAATTTTGTAAAGCAATATTGGAATGAGGTTTTTTGGTATGTTAACTAGTAGGCCAAGAGTGTATAACAAAGAAATAAATCCTAGGTCTCTAAAGTAAAGATTCTTGTTGTATATTCTTTGCACTAAGTGAAATTGTAACGATTTCAAAACATTTTGTAATTTCAGTGATTTATTAAAGGAATATGAAACAGGACACACACCAAATCCTGATGTATTGTGTAATCGTTATGTGAAGTTTGATGCCTTCTATCACTATGCTCGAGAGGATCTCAATGCTGATGCTATTGCTACTGGTCATTATGCAAGGACCAACTTTGGTCCATACCTGGAATACTACAAACCTAATGAAGGTAAAAGTAATATAAGCTACGTTCTATAAGCTAAAAAGAGTAAGAAGTCTAAAAAATTTAATACTTTAACATTAAATGAAATAAAATATTGTGATTTAATTTTCGTATAATGATACAGCTACAGATACAGCTATAAGAACTCATTGCAATCACTTTATATGGTCTTTTAAAGTGTTGTGATTAAATGTTAAATTACACATAGTAGATGATGTGGCATCTTGAACTGTTGACGATCCACTTATCTGTTCCATCGTTCCGGTACATAACTGAAAATAATAAAAATATCTCAAATGGTTATTTTTAAAAACATTTTTAAGTTTATAACTTTGGTAAAAAAGATGCATTATGCTTTTAGATGTTCACCTATTAAAAGCCATGGATGAAAGAAAGGATCAGACCTTATTTCTGTGCCAGGTAAAGCAAAAGGCGTTACGAAAAACCATGTTCCCATTAGGAAATTACATGAAAACCGAAGTGAAGAAAATCGCCATGGACAATGGACTGGAAGAAATTGCCAAAAAGAAGGAAAGTATGGGAATATGCTTCATTGGCACTAGAGACTTCCCTAACTTTATATCAGAGGTTACAGTAGGCAATTACAACAAACGTAAAACTCACTTTGTATTACATTTAGTATGTCAATAACAAACCGGGAAACTTTATCGATATTGAAAGTGGAGTTACTGTTGGTACTCACAAAGGCATACATCAGTGGACATTGGGGCAGAGAAGTAACATAGAAGGACAACCAATTGCCTACTTTACCGTGCAAAAAGATGTGAAAACCAATAATATCTATGTGGTATACTTATTACCTTTACGTAACACATCCCCGTAATACTCTTATTTCAGGCACGGGGAACACATCATCCCTCCTTATTTACAGATCTACTGTATACCGCGCATCCCCATTGGATACACTCTCGTCCTCCTGAATTGGAAAATGGAGACTTATTGGAGTGTGACTTTAAATTTCAGCATGTTGAAGAATTTATTGGTTGCCAAGTATACGAGTCGAACAAAGGCCTAATTGTATTATTAGAAAAGACTAGAAGAGCCATAACACCTGGACAGTTTGCTGTATTTTATAAAGGGGAAGAATGTTTAGGCAGTGCTAAGATAATACAGGGCGGCCCTTCATTATTCACTTTAAATTGTGGTAGAAATGTAAGCAATGCTTGGAGATATAAAGAAAAGTTATTTAACAACTTTATAAATAATAATGAAAGAAGAATTTGTACTATGTAAGGATTAAAAAAATATACCTTTTATATCTGTCTTCGAATTTCTTTTTCTCACTTTGTTCTTCTGGTTCAGGTGACATGCTCTTTTTACGTTTATGCTTTTTCTTTTTCTTGTCTTTCTTATCCTTTTTTTCTTTTTCGTTTGTTTCTTTTTTCTCCTTTCCTTTTATTTCTTTCTTCACGTCAACTTCTACTTCCTCCTAAACAAATATGGGCCTTAGTTTTAATAATTTAATTAACATTCGCATACCACAACTGGTGTCTCTCCTATAGTGCTACAAGCTTCGTCCTTAACAGTATAAATCGGTAATCTCATCGGTAGCTTAATGTCACTTGCTATTTGATCGACTAAAGTCTCACGCAAATCTTGAGGTGGTGGCTCTTTGGGTACCCTGACTTCTGGACGTGGTATGGGTTGGGGTTTTGGGGCACAACCTTCTTCATGTAAACGTTTTGTTTCTGGATCTGTCTTCTTGCCATCCTTGGGGACCTTGTAGTTGCTTACATGGTCTACTCGGATAGTACGACCGATAATCTAAACTTCAAAGTGTAAGCTAACAACCCGAAGATTTAGACTAGGTACTTACTTTTATGCCATTGAAGTTATCCACAGCTAAAATTGTCGATCTTTGGTCTTCGTAACATAAAAAGCAGAACCCTTTTGATTTACCAGTGTCCTTATCACGTACCAAATTAATGTTTACAATTTCGCCATATCTGTAACGAAATAAACATATTACAATGTCTATAGGGAAGTAAATAGAAATCCTCACTGTGAGAAAACGGCAACAATGTCCCCTTCTGATAGATCGTAGGGCAGTCCTCCTATAAACACCCAAGCACTGTCACGGTACTGGTCATGCCATGAAGATTTAAAATTTATGTTTTTTAATTCTTGCTCACTTAATTTTGTAATGTTTTTTGTATTCCTAAAAATAGATTTAATTATGATTAGCCTAAAGGTAGCAAGGAAGTATTACGTTAAAGGATTCATTTGTAATTCATAAAATTGTGAACGTCTCCAAATAAATGTCACAACATCAACAAAAGTTTGGTTAGGTTTCTCTTTCGCTTAATGTCATATATATATATATATGCTTAATGTCAGTTATGACGCAATGAACAGCAGTGCCAACCGAAATTGCCTAAAAGTTTTCATAGACAGGGTGTGCCTAAAGTTATTACACAACTGACAAGATTTAATCCCTAAACGTTACACTGTCTTGACCAAATGGGGACTGAAATTCAGTTTAAAGCCCGTTTGTAACGATCACGATAAGGGATCGTTACAAACGGGCTTTAGACACATTATTATGTTATTTGGTAGGTTTTATGTACTTGTTTCAATCTTAGATTAAGGAAAGCGAATATATCCGTTTACACTAATTGATGATGAGAGGTCTAAACGTGCCTAAACTCCAATGTTTTTTTGTTACATTATTTTGATCTAGTTCACATTCATACTTTTTTTATTTTAATGCACAAGTATTTAGTATTTGTATTCCTACCAAATAGTATATGTCTATACTATCGGAATCATTTCACATCAAGTGTTTCTGCTGCACTGAACTTCTCCCTTGCCGGGAAGTCCTTTGTTTATTTTTTTCTACTCTTTTCTCTTCAATAAAGGTAATATTATTATTATTACTAAGAATTGAAAGAATTAAAAAAACGAAAGAATCCAATGAACCCCGAGATTTTGAAAAACTATGAATTAGATTTTTTGATAAATCTGCGAAATCGGAATAATTTGAAAAAAACAGCATATTATTTATAACCAACAATTTTTGAAATAGACCACATTGTACAAAGTTATTACCCTTATTATTATTATTTCATGCTTACGCCACAGTTATAAAAATTGGCGGTTCCCACAAAAAAAAACTTAGTTTTACCAATTCCTTAATGTTAGCGTTTGAACTCCTGTATTTATTCATAATTAAAATCTCAACAAAGTCCACTAAAGAGGAATCTCTTCTAAAAAATAGCCCCAATGAAGTAATAACAGCTCTCATGCAAAAAAAATTGAATTTTATTATGATTTGGGCTGCAAACCATATATATAAGAGAGCAATCAATTCATTTATGCCATACTTGTTATTAGATTCCCAAGTGAAAAAAGCAACAAGAATCGGTGACTGCAAGCATGTGAACTATCGGAATTCGATGATGTAAAAACAAGGTTGTGTTCTCGTCATTTTAACCGCTATGACTGCATTGATTTGGATGCACGCAAGCATGATGGGGGCACGAAGTTATATGGGGGTCACTTAACACCTAAAAGATTTCCAACTCGACAATGTTAATTTTATTTTAAAATCAGTAAATGTCTTTAATTTAATTGTGTTTCTTTGAACATTGGTAATGTATCACTTTATATTATAGCTGATGCAAACTTATCCAATTTCATGTTATATTCAAGATATAATCCCTATAGGTATATTATTTCAATTGCAATTTAAGTTTCTAAATCGTTACAAAGTTTGCCTTCGAAGTTGAAGGGTGTAACCGTAAACAAACTCCGCTGAGGAAGCTCGAAAGTTCTCCGTGAAAATGCTACAGTTTCCAAGCAGAACGATACGGAGTACCTTGAACCAGAACGCACTGGGTGGCACGTGAGCGCTGATTTGAGTTGGCAGTGAAATCATTCAAGTAGGGCATTGACTGCAGGTCCCGAATCCTTGTGTGCCGAAAACAATGTTGAGGGCACAAAAAAGGGAAGATTCAAATTGTCGTCGCTGATCGGTGAAGATGCTAGTAGGGGAATCGAAGCGATATAGTCAACAGGTAAGAAACGCTTCGGCGGCGATTGGTCTTGGGAGGGTGGGCCTCGGCCAGCTAGTATACTTATCTAAAGACATCACAGGATCAGACAATAGTGATAGGAGTCGGCAGGTGGAATGGGGCCAATGTGGTGAATATGAACCTGCATGAAGCGAATAGAAGTCTGGGTGAAGTTTCCGAATGGTGCGTGGTTGTGTTTACATATGGTAATTGCACACAATAATGGTTTAATAAAATTTTAACCCTATTTTCGAGTTATAGGTTATGAAATTTGAAATTGGCGCTACTTAAAAGTAGGCGGAGAGAAGTAAATATTTACTTGGGGAGTTTGCGCATAAATACAGAGTTCAGGACTAAGGAATAGGGCAGCTCTCTTTTATGGCGAACAATTTGCACATTGCAATCATAGGCGGTTATCCATATACTTCTCTTATATATATGCTGCAAACGTCATTTTTGACAAATAAAATAATGTCAAAAACGCCTTAATTTAGATATAGGGCATTATACATATATACATAAACTGTATATAAACTTTTAAGTAGAATCTAAAACTGAAACAAGGGTGTTCTACTTAAAATCAACCACCTGGCATCGATCTGCTGTATAAAGTGCCACAAACTTGAAAATATAAATTACTCTTAACGACATTAGAATACTGTCACTTTCATACAAGGTCTCATTTTCAAGAAATTGATAACCGGCATTGGTCGTGGGACACACTGTATGTTTGAATGCTATGAATTGGACTTTTTGCATTTTAATTTACCTAGTTGTAAATTTTTTGCGTAAAACAAGCTATAAAATTCCTTATCTTAAGTTTCGGGCTTAATTTTGAATTCCCATTGGCATAATAATTTATTGTTCAGTTTATACGCTTTCTTATCTGTTACTCCGCCACTGGAACAATGTTTGGTAATAATTTTTAGCTAACTTCAAGCTGTTGTGTTGGAGGCTAGGTTATGTATTTGTGTTGATAATTTTAATTAAAAACCGTTCTAATTTAATCTATTCTTAGAGAAATAGTCTAAGAACCTATCCTTAGAGAAAGATTTATCGTATTATTGTCCAACATGGACGACGGAGAAAGGTATTTACACATTTTTAGATGTAGTACAGGCATGAGAAAAGTTCAGTTTTCAAAACCATTTTCCTTCTAAAGTTCTAATGAGAATGTGAGTGAATGATTATAATCAGCGATGTTCCCATCGATTTCTTTGAGTGTACTCAGTTGCGCAGGTGTTTGGCATGTTTACAGTAAAACGGCGAGGGGATGGGGTCCACGAGTCATCCCCTGACAAATTTTCAATCCTTTGGTTCTGAAAACGCAGTTTCAGCACTCCAAATTGCTAAAAAACGTGTGTGGATAAAATACGATTTTAGTTTCGCTTGATGTATTTATAATTGTCATGTTCAGTGGCGTCTTGATTGAATATGGCTGAAGAATGAGTGAGAGTATATGGCATATATGGAGTAGATCCTATGGGAACACCACTGATTATCATTAGTAAACCTAAAAACAGAATCTGTATCCGTTGAAATGTGTGGCAAAGTTAATTTAAAGCTGTACTGTTCCTGGTTCGAATCTGGATTCGGGCATGGATATTTGAAAATGTATAGTGGGTTGGGTTGGTAGATCAGCTTGGGCTGAAACCCCGCCCACTCAAAAATAAAGGCAAAATAAAATAAAACTGTGCATTACAAATCCATCTAAAATAAAAAAAATGCTAATGATGAAATTTATTTAAGGTCGGCAGATGATCAGGGAAACCTTGTACGATCTGTTGATTCACACCATCCATCCTACATTCGTGTGACCAATTTGTGTCCTGAAGCTGTGGATCTAATATGGATAGATTATCAAGGACGTCATGTCAAGTACACCAAATTATCAAACAGGGCTTTCGTTGATGTGAATACTTTCGAAACTCATCCATGGATTGCAGTGCACTCCGACAAAAAGGATAAAGTGCTTATGAACAATAAATTCATATACATGCCAACTCGTTCGAGACCTGTTCCTAATTTGCCAGCAGATGCTCCATTGCAATTCCTTAGGGTATCTGTGTCAATTACTCTTCCTGTGTACAGTTTACGTTACAGAGCGTTATTAGAAATAAGATCGTATTTAACAACTGTATCTGATGTAGATACATTAGATCTTCCAGCAGAATTGCGAAACGCATTAAAAGTTACAATTCTGGATCGGATTTCCCTTACACAAAATCTCTTACAAAGAATTTGAAATAAATTGTGATAGGTATCTTGATTCATGAGATGCACCATAGATCATAACATATAATAACCAAACGTAAACATACACTTGTAAGCGAAATTGAAGTGCTCATATAATGTTGATAAATAATCATCGGAGAACTTCAAATAATGTACAGTTTAAGTCATTATTGCTTGGTATGCTTGTTTGTTAACATGCTCTTGTTCTGTTCTATTAACCCATAGGAATGATCTCTGTTGATTCAATCTTGTGTTCAAGTAATTAGTAAAACGATACAATATTAGATACCAAATATGTATATAAAAGTGTTTATATTTTTATAATTAAAGTTTATCATCTATTAGTTAGGTATTATTCTTATTTCCTATATTGTGTGTTCAGTGGTGTCAAGTAATACACGACAAATGATCCATTTAATGATATACAAATTTTCATTTGTAAATTTGCTTACTATTTTTTTCTCTATCCTTACATCTCGCATGATTGACTGATATTATTCTGTTATTCATTCATTGTACCTAAGTATCCCCACCAGAGTCAAAGTATCTAATCCATTTTCTTCTCTTATTTTTATATTTTGAAAATACCTGCATAATAAGTATCACTTCTTTAACAAATATTTTGATTTTGGCTCTTCCTAAGATCAGTGGTGTATTGCAGGGCGGAACGACATTTTGATACTTTTTTGAACGCCGTCGTTCCGCACAACCGAAAATTGTGACACCAAAATTATTGTCAGGGTGCGTTTTAAGTTCGTGACGAGTAAGGTAATAATAAGTAGATGGTTTACAAAAAGAAGCGGAGTCGTTCGGCCAGTTGATATAATTTTCAACCGTGAATGGTGCAATGTGCACATTTCTTGTGTACACGAGAGAGAGGGATAATAAATTAAAAAAATTAGATCTACTTCCAACACACGACAACCGGTAAAAAGGTTAAAGACAATTAAATCCTGCTTTTGTTTACTGTCAAAACATTCATTTTCAATGAGTAATCAAATTTTACTCGGAGATACAAAAGGTTCGATTGTAGTCTACAAGGTGATCTACCATCCAATTTTGAATTTTTTTGCATTGTGTAATCATAGGAGTCGATTTTTTAGGGGATTATATTTAAAGTCATGCTAACATTTCTGAAGAGGTTAGCCCACGCATTGAATAGCCCACGGGAGTTTATCCCGTGAATAAATTTGTATATTTTTTTATTAATGATAAGTGAACCGAAACTAAACACATTGGTAATTTTTTCTCATTAATTGCGAAGATAAGTTTTTAGTTCAGTAATAAAATCAGGCTATTGAATGTTTGCAGGATGGCGTGGCGCGTGGAAATATCAACTTTTTCGTTAGTTGAATACATCGCACACGAACGTAAATTATAATACGGAAGTCAAAGCGATAATATTCAAATTAATTTAATATGACATTATTTTGTTGTAGGGAGTTATTTTGGTTGCATAAAGTTAGGAGTTCTTTAGAAGACTTTTAATTTTTATCACGTAAAAGTAGACATAGGATATTCCTATAGAAAATCCCTGTGTCTACTTCTACATGAAGATCCCTGTATATGGTTGAACCATAGCGACCACGGATAAAGATTATCACAGTTGAATGCGGGCAAGTATTCAAATTCGGAATGCACCCAAAACTTGCGCGTCGGCGTCATTCAATGGGCGGTAAAAAGTAATAATAGAGGTTATGTTTAATTTTCCTATTTCGACTCATTTGTTCGTTCTTTTGTGATACATTCCATTACATTTTCAGAAATACCTATATAATAAAACTGTAAGAAGAAAAATGTGGAACGACAGTGCATTCGGTATAAACTTTATAATTTACGCAATGCTTTCAATTAAAACGCCGAATTTTTTTAGGTGACAGTACAAATGCAGGAACAGGATTTTTCAATGCAGGAAATGATGCAGATAATGCACAACCAAAAACCAAAGGGGTAAATAAGTAGTTTGTATTTAACAATTCGTCACTTGATTATTTCTTTTCTGAGTACGGGGTGATACTCCGTTGTTTATCGTTGTACCAAAGTACAGTTTGACTTTTACCCTTGTAAATGCTTTTTGTGAATAACACTGTACAGTACAAATTTAATTCCAGCAAGTTCGCCGTCTACAAAGTGTTGTCCCTGTATGTGTTCGCCAGATTAGAGATCATCCTGAAGAAGAGTTTAAGTTATTTGGCATGCAGACCCAGATTGTAAGTGTATAAATGATAATGATTAAGTAGTTAAACAGTAGATAATCAAATAAGTGTTCAGTTCTTGGTTCAAATGTTGGCTCAATAACAAAGTCTGGTCAGGTATATTGTTTGTTTTCCAAACGGTCTGCTAGAGGGTCTGCTATTATACTATGGTACTAATTTTTTGATTTGTTGCAGCTAACATTAGTAGCAATTCTTAAACACTATGATGTACAATCAACCAAAGCCACTTATGAATTGGAGGACCACACAGGAAGGATAAAAGCGATACTTTGGCTCGAAAATGATAATGTATGTAATTTTAATTTTTATTTTAATTTGTGTAGTCATTGACATTATTCTGGTCTCAGAAAATTTATACGGACAGTGCCCAAGATACCTATAGCCATATTAAGAGATACTTTTTATGCTTGTCAACCTACTGCGGACTGCCATAGTGGACAAGTGTCCATTTGGTATCTTGATTTGACATGTAGGTAGGAGGAATTTTTGGTCCAGCATTTAGGCATTAATCATTTTTGAGATAAAAATAAAAAATGTCAAAAATGGCTAAATTTGGGTACATGACAAGAATTTTATTTAGGTAATATTAAAAAATAAAATAATATATAGGGTGTTCCATTTAAAATAAACAGATTGGTATAACCGAAAACATCCTGTACATAAAGGAAAAAGCGAGGGAAAAAGAAAGTAACTATAATATGCTTATTAATACAATGCAACATAATTTTTTTTACGTTAGTTATAGTTTATGAGTTATGACCATGATGTATACCTCATGTTGGACGACGCTATTATGATCCAGGATTTTTTTCTTTGTCGCAAAAATACGATAACCTGCGTCAACAATGTTGCAATTTTGCCTTGGTGGTCGCAAAATGCTGTTATGACCACTGTCTCTGTTCGTCCGCCTAAGGCCTTAACTCTCACCTTAACTACTCCTACAGTTTCCAAGATATTTAGTTCGTTCTTTTTGCATTCGGTAGCGTATAGCTCTGGCATCTCAACCTAGAAAAATCTTGACGATGAATTTACGCATGCGTACACTGCGCAATGTTAACTTTTTTATTTGCAGATATTTTTTTGAAAGTTTAACCAAAGATCTATCTCTTCTAGTACAAAGACAGTCATTTCAATCATCGCAGGTATCCTCTCACTGCAAAACTGGTCGCATGCGAGGTGTACACAAATTATGCTATTATATTTTCATCTTTATCTAGCCCAAGCGAAGAAAAAGACATAAGTTTTGCGGTGGGCGGCTACCTGCGACTGTTTTTACACTAGAAGACGTATAGTAAAGGCAAATGTATCACATATTTTAAACATTAAGTGAGCACATGTGCAGACTGCGCAATACTAAGTTTATTATAACTTTATAAGAATGTTTATTCCTTAACTTATTTTCGACACGTCAGCGAATCTCACTCGTCCGTGGTAAACCCTAAATTTTTTTATTACTATGCTGGAATTGCTTGTATATAAACGGCCAGTCAACACAGATATAGAAATCAAGAGAAGCGGAAAAGAGGCAGAGAAGTAAAATTTCTCTGGTAAAAGGGTAAAATTGTTAGTTTTGATATTCATACAAAATGTGACTTGGGACATTGCATCAATGGTAATACTTTGTGTAAAGTAATGCAAAGTGTCTATAGTCAATAAGTGATGTCATAAAAGTCAAAATATTTCTACAGGTACTTTGGAGGAGATTGTAACACCCAAACCCCCCGTCCCATGAGTGCGCCCCTGGTATTTTGAACATCTGATTGTTTTGTTGCTTCGAATAGGTAGATTTTGTTTGTTTTTTAAAAATACATCAGTCTAATTGATTAAAATGTAAAAGCTGTTGATATAATTTTTATCTTATTTTCAATCTTATGCTGTCATAGATCGTTGAAAAGAGAATTATAATTCTGTTAAGTAATCTAAAAATCCAATATGGCGCCCATTTAACTTTACGTAAATGTCATAAATGTTCCTCAAAAGTGACCATCTTGAATTTTTTTTGACATCCAAATTAAGCCTAGCAAAGACAGTACCTTTCACTATAAAACTTTTTTGTATCTCGTATACTTTCAATGATATATGACATTCAAAAAAATGACCGACTTTAGTTTCTTGGAAATTACGTCGGACCTATTCGACATTTTGAACTTTCACAAGTAAATTTTAAATAAGCATCTAAAACTACAAAACATTGCTCATTTAACCATTTCTCTATCTTTAATAATAAGAAAGTTACCTATGCAATCCCCCATCGATCTGGAACACACTGTATAGTATAGTACAAAAATTTGAAATGTTATATTGATCATCTGTGAAACAACAATTTATTGTATGATTTTAGACCTCTGCCCCAAACTTACCATTAGTTAAAGAAGGCTGCTATTTGAAAATTTATGGATCATTACGTGTGCAGGAGGGTGAAAAAATTCTAATGGTACTTCGGATGTATCCAGTGGACCACATCAACGAAATTACCACGCATCTTCTCAATGTTATACGCACACGTCTTCAAGCCGAAGCTGTGAGCAAAGGACCGGTAAATTTGATGAAAGATTGTTAATAGATGTGGTTTCGACATATGATTTTATAGGGTCCTCTTGCTAGCATTAAGAAAAATAATCCCGGTGCAGAGCTGGCAAATTCTATGAGTCTTATGAGCGATATGGATATCAGTAACTCAACTCGTCCAAACTTCACACCTTTACAGGAAAAGTTGTACAATATCCTAAAGGCGGATAATTCACTTCAAGGTTTACACCGAACAGTTGTATGCCAGTCGTTTCCTCCTAGTTTACATCGTGAAGTTAAGTAAGTGTAGTTTAACCTGGTGACATTTCTGTTTTTTTTTTGTTAATCAATGTTTGTTGTGTTATGTGGCTTGAACGAAAGTTCTATAAACAACTTAATTCTGTTTAAATGTTTTTTAATCTCAAATTTTCATTCACACTTTTTTTGTTGCAGTGCTGCGCTGGAAAACTTGATCAATGAAGGACATGCATACTCCACAATCGACAATGATCATTTTAAAATAACTGATACCATGTAATAAAATACCTTCGCTTTATACATCGAGTTACAATATTTTCTTACACGTTCCCTATGTTTTTGGAAAGGATAGGCTAAGTTTCTAGTTTCTTAAATATTTATACTTCTGTACATAACACTTAGAATTGTACCTACACGTTGAAATAAATTTGCGCAAATTGTGAATTTCTTCTTTAGTAGGTATTGAATGAAATCCAGTGCATGTTGTGCATTTCAGTCTTCAAAGGAAGAGTAACAGTTGGTCAATATCGGGTTTACATGCATGATCAAATTAACCTAAAAATGTTGTGTCTGTTCTGAAGGAGATTTGTTTGTGCGACTCCCAGATTATACATGTTGCTTGTATTCCCACACTTACTGAAACCAAGAGATAGATATACAGTGAGTTTTTTTTAAATGCGAACATAGGAGTTTGCATGCAATGTAATTTCCCTATGTTCGATTTTTAAAAAAACACATCAATCTATGGGGTGTGCGCGGTTCACATTCCCAAATCGCGCAACTTGTGTGACTATGAACAGCAACTGATGAAGAGCACTCGGTAAGATTTTTTTTAGGAAGCCATGTGAGGCCATAGCAACATTAGGAAACATTTTTCTTAAACTTACGATAACTTGACCTCACAGGCCACGCACTGACACCACAACTCATTGTGAACCAACCTTCAATTATTTGTAGGTCATGTGCACCTGGTATTGTACTAATTTGATCTATTCAATACATAAACGAAGAAAATAAGAAAATAAATAGCGAAAACAACTACAATAAATGTTCAAAGTGTCCTCTTTGACATTCTAAGCAATAACTTAACCGATTTCGTAATTAAATTGGACGGCGGTATTTTTAAAAATGTGACAGCCGTCAATCATTGTATCTACTACTCATTTGAACTACTCAATAGATTGATGTGTTTTTTTTTAAATCGAACATAGGGAAATTACATTGCATGCAAACTTCTATGTTCGCATTTAAAAAAAATTCACTGTATGTATGTACTGTTAATTAATGTGGAAGAGGTGTAACCAAAGGGTCCTTTTTAAGGGGCGTGTCCCTTAGTAGCAGTTAGGGGGATACTCATACGCGCACCTGAATGATCATAAAGCGACTCCTGTTCGTGAACATGTGAAGAAAGGTGATGAAAAATGTGGAAAAGGGGGAGAAGGAAATTGAAGACACTTGAATGAGGGCGGTATGATGAAAGGAAGCGTAAAGTAGTAATTAATGATCGCAAAGGGCTTTTAAGTTAACTTTGGTGTTTTTACCCTCATACATTATAAAGAAATGGTGTTCATAGTACAATAAAAATAACAATTTATTTACACTCGAGCCAATAATATATTACATGTAGATATAAGTAAATCACAATTCAAATAGTTAAATAGCTCAATAAATTGGGCCGTCATCTAAATTATCATCTTCATCCTCATACGCTTCTCCATTATCAAAATAATTGTTTGCATAATCTGTTCCATCATCCATATCCTCATCCTCATAATTCTCTTGAACTTCCTCCTCTTCCTCATCAGGTTCTGCCTCTTCTTTTACCGAGACATCCATTGCCTTCTCAGTCTTTTCCTCAAGCTTTTCCAATTGGTTTAGCCTACAAAACAAAGAAAATAGGAATTCCACCTCCCTAGAACGTTACTCACCTAAAATTAACGTCAACCGTTTTAGATTCCTTCAATTTCATTCTTTTGGCGATTAATTTTGGTCGCAATTCTGTCGGTAACATGTTCCAGTCAAACTTTTCTTTTACTGATGGTAATTGAGCTATTAACTTGTCGATTTCTTGTTGCCGTTTATCCAACCGATCTTTTGACTGAGGTATCCTAAGGTATGCTCCAGAGCTCTGCATTTGATCTAATATGTTTTGCCTTAATATTAATAAATAATCCAATTCCAAAGATTCCTGTAGCGGCACTGGTTTCCTGTTTAGCGGAGGGAATAAAGGTGGAGGTTCTCGAATTGGGCCTGGTAAGTTTTCATTGGAAGTGATACCAATAGCGTTTAATTGTTCTCGATTGAACGACCCTGTGTTACCGCCACGTCCACCTCTACCTCGACCACGACCAGCCATTGTTTAGTTAGTAATTTGCAATTTATTTAAATTATCGCCTAACGCTGTGACTTCAGTTGCTTGTTGCGTAAATGTTTCCTGCAAACAAAAGTAAAAAAATTGCTGATAACAGAATTGACTTACCAAATCATATATTACTTTAACAATTAGAGAACAACTGGGGCAAGTTGCTACTTCTTCACCTGCTAGTAATTCCTCCTAAAATGTCATCGCTTACTAACCTACACAGACACAGACATTCCGAAATACCTACCTTAGAAATACAAAACCTATCACCACACGGACATGGATAATAGTACATTTCCTCTTCTTCGTCGTACTCAAAGTCTTCTATTTCAATTTCGTCGTGAAAAACAGACATTTCTCAAATTTGGCAAGAGCATGATAAAAATGTGTACAGGTTATGTCTACATGCGCAATAGAAGAAACCAAGGTTGCCACGCCCTACAATAGAAACCCTCCGACAGTGTTTACATAGTTCTTGAAAGTACTTATTGCTCGAGAAAAACTGTTGATGCATACTCTCATTATGCTTACATCTTTATTGTTTACTAAACTTTGTATTCAGTCAGCATCACATGTTAGCAAACACTTCGATATGCAAATTTTAAGAGGTAGATAGAATATTTTTATAAACATGACGCCATTGCAATTTTTATCAAAGCATGCAACTTGTAATAACGTTCCTTGATGATACTTAAATTTTGAACTTTTTGCAGATATGTAAATTTAAAAGCTCTTATTGCATTGGTGGATCCATCTTTATTTTGGATTTTTATTTTGAATTAGGTAAACGCTCATGACGGGGAAAACGAATACGTGGCTAACGAAGCTGCTATGATCCTGTAATTACACAGAATACTGAATTAATTTGATATCATCAAATTATGACCACATTTATAAATTAAAAACTCCTAGAATATTAAACTTTCTTCAAGGAACGAGAAATTGGTTTCGTATAACATGCAATAAACGTTTTCGCACAATAAGTTCAGACATTGTTACATAACGGCGTCATCGTGGCACATTAGGATGAAAAACGAAATAATTTTTGGTTGGGGTTCGTATATCTCCCATCACGTAATTGTGTGTTGGTTTTATTCAATGGTTTAATTAAACGTAAAATTGTCCGAATTCATGCGTGCTTTAGTGTACAGGCAAGGCAAGGAACTGCGTACTAGAAATATAGAAGAGAATCTTCTTCAATCTTATACTGTACCTACGAGCTGTTTGTTTACACTTACAGTATCAATACATCTGATTTTTATTTCCACGTTATCTAAATTAAATCTGTATCATCCATCACTTTTAACACTTCATTCTCATTCGCATTTTTCAGCTCACATTTTTCTCTAAATATTCTGTGATAAAGCTCTTGTTAATAAATACGGTACCGTGTTTTCTAATGGCGGGTCATCTTCTAAAAAGGCGATACAATAGCTATTTTTCTACAACTGTCAAAAAAACCTGCCATTTTCTGACGAATTTCGAAACGCGAAGTACTAGATTTTTAAACTGTTAATTAATAAGTAAGGTTGCTCTTGACAACGTGCGCGAAATCGTCAACAGTGAAAAAAAGTATTTCGCGCACGTGACAAAGTTGAACTTAAACAGCAAATTTAATTAACAATCGGTTCAGTTGTAGAAAAAATATTGTATATAACGCTAGCGCGAAGTTATTTCGCGCATTTGACTGATATTTTAACTCGGCTTCGCCTCGTCAAAATACCTTCAGTCTCAATGCGCGAAATTGAACTTCGCGCTCTTGTTATATAAATAACTATTGTGTATTAAGAGCGCAAAATGATATATTGTTGATTGAAAGAGACAGTTGACGCGCGACGAAGGAGCGCGGCATAATCTCTTGAAATCGACAATCAATTTGCGCTCGAATTACACACAAGGTTTTTTCTACAATCGAGCAGTTCACATATTTCCAAAAATTTAAATTTTTCACTCAAATCATTTTAATCTTATGCCCAAATGAAAGATGTCATTTACTCGTTGTCATTGGATACTCTGAGCATTGAATTTATAACTATCAGAAGCGCGGATCCCATATAACAGTTTGTGACCATGTGCCAACTGGCCGCCGCTAGGAGCAGTTCGATCGTTTGAAAGTCCGTGGGCGATCGAAAGTGGAGCGTTACATTGACATTAGATGGCAGCATTACAAACCATTTATTTTGACCATTCGAATATTTTCCTTTTTAATCGTCAGATGTCAGGAACTCCGGATGTTTTTTGTGTTATCATTGGAATGGTTTTATAAATAGGATTGGAATGTTCTAAAAATAGATCCCTTAAGAAGCATTGCGTAAATTTGTAATGTAAATAATAATACATTTAGACGAACGAAGCTTGCAGTCCTTGTCCTTGAAGGAATGCAATTTCATACATTCTATTCACAGGCAGTAAAATAGGCAGGTTCCACATTTTTACTGAAAGCGGGAGATTTTGTTATTAAAAAACGATCAAAAAAATTTTAAGGCAAAATATTGTCCGTTGCAAGCAGGCAGCTACATCATTTCCACATTCACATTTGATAACTAAATTTCGCGAATCAGCTTTTTTTATAACCATGCAGCATTGTGCACAAATAAATCGGTCCCAGTTTACGTGAATTCGTATACCTACTAGAGCTGAGCGATAAATGAAATTGTTATCGATTTATCGATAAGTCTGTTCAGTCTGATAATTATCGATTAATCATTAATTGATAACTATCGATAATTATCGATAACTTTAATCACTTATCGTTAACTTTCGATAATAATCGACAATTATCGATAAATCGTAAGGCTAATTTTCGATAATGATCGATAACGTTTGATAATTATCGATAACTTTTTATAATTATCGATAACTTTTGAAAATAATTAATAATGATTGTTAGCTGCTGATAATAATCGATTATTATTGCCACGAAAATTGTCTATCTCTGATATTTATCGATTAATAAATAAGTAGCGGAAATTATCAAGAGAAAACTATCGATACTTTTTCATAAATCTCATCGATATATATTCTCAATCGATATATTACATCATCCATGCGTACACTCGCTAACATTTTTGTTTTTTTGGTATTGATATTGCGAGAGATAATTTAAATAAAACAGGATCTTTTGATGCTCAAGTTGTCTGAAATCAAAGGTGATCAAGTGGACGATAATCCTCAAAAATGAGTACAGCAGTAGGTTGTGAATTGTGATCATATGGCAACTCAACAATGCTCTTACATCGCTTTTGTTGGAAGTAAACTGGTGTACCTAAACATTGAAAAGTTTATGTCGTTAAAAATTCTCTCGATAATTATCTATCTTAATAGTTTAGTTGTGAGATTAATCGATAGATTATCGGTAATTATAGGTTTATCGACCAATCCTTTAACATTTTCGATAAATTACACCGGTCTACAGCATTTTTGCGCATGGGACATATATACCTTATTTTTATTGCTTCTATAGCCACAAATAAGAATTAGAACAAAAAATGGTTATGTATTTGTTTTTGTGTGAAAAAAATGCAAAAAACCAAAAAATAAAAATACCTATAGAATCCTACTTACATAGGCATGATTTATTAAATGGTAACGTTTCTACATTTATAATTTGTTTATCTTAGAGTCTAAATGTTTAAAAATGGAACAGTTTTGCTGTTTTTGTCATGTTCAACTGAATCTGATCTTCCATCATGCTTCCAACTTCCTGGCCTTGGGAAGGTGCCTAAGTTCCATTGTCTCGAGAAAGTGTTGTCCTTATTCCAAATAAGCTCCCATATTATCCTTAAATTGATCTAAATGAGAATGTAACCTGTGCATCTTTATTCTTTAGAGACATTCTATATCCCATGATACAAAACCAAATCCTGTCAGCTCGTCATAATTTTCAGCTCTATGGTTTCCCAGGAAACACTGAACGGGAAACCATGGACTATTGCCTTAAAACTGTTCCAGGATTTTTTTTCCTCTTTGCTAAGTAACCGCGGAAAAATATCACCCTCCATTTTTCTTTTTTTTTTAGGGAAAACAAAGATTCCAGCTTTAATTTTCGCCCCTGAAAGCTTTCAATCAAATCGCTGTAACTTTTGTAAAAGCAAATATTTTCGATGTCTTAATCGCACTTTTTATTTATTTTTGCTTATTATAGTCAGAATATATATTGTGTAAATCCCATGCGCAAAAAATTCTTTTTTTGTTGACCGGTCGACCATTTTTTTTAAATTTATCGATTGACTATCTATTAATCGATAATTATCGATAAGTTATCGATTAACCATTGAGAACAAATTTCAAACGTCAGAATTTAAAAGAAAAGAGGTTAACGACCTTTTTATTTTGTATCAAAATTGCCAGGTGTGACGTGTGATCCTAGATCAGGGGTCGGCAACCTGCGGCTCTTTTGATACCTATAAAGTTGCGGCTCTCCGTATTTATCTAAAGAAATTAGTTCATTTGTTCGAAATTCGCCTTTTTAATTAATCTTATTTTGTATCAAAAGTATACTTGCAGCAAATAATTATCTAATTTTTGACACTTGTTTACTTTCTGGTATTCTTTTGTTTTTTTTATTATAGCCAGCCTACTCCGATGTATAAACACGTAATTAATTAATGAGTAGGTACTTTTGTGAAAAATATTGAATAACCTAAACACTGCGGAGTTTAAGCACAGGGCACCCCTTATAAACATTTAAGAGAAGACAAAAGCGAATAGCGAAATAAAATAGTGGTAGTTCCATTTGAAAAAGAATAGTTATAGCACTTTGAACAAACGGCATTGAAACAACCAAATATTCAGGATGTTCTATTTAAAAAGATCAGTTATTAATTGACATCGTAAAAATGGAACACCCTGTACATTCAAAAATAATTTCTGTAGATCCGCAACCACCAATATTTTTACCAGGTATCTATCAGCTATGTAGGAAAAACCGACGGACTGTTGCAGGACCCTGTATATAGCCAAAAACTATAATATTGAATCAAAAATTATTTGTGGCTCTTTAAGAATTGGGAAATTTTGTAAATTGTAATTTTTAGCTCTTCCGTTTCAATAGGTTGCCGACCCCTGTCCTAGGTAGTTTAACCGGTGGCAACGGTTTAACCGACACACACAAAAATTAAGAATAGATAGGTAGGTACATTTAATTTCTGTTACAGTGATCAAGGATGCCTGCGTATTTTTTGCTTTCCTGTTCAAATGTAATTCAATCTTCCTTAAGGAATGTTAAGTAAGGTCACGATTCATGAAAGGAAGAATGTTTATCTTACGTCATTCAACATCCTGTGTGCCACATAAATGCCTTATAAGTGCGTTTCTTGGGTATCTAGAATTCTGTATACAACAATTACAAATCGAGATAGTGGGTTCATTACAGATTCCTGTATAATAATTAACAAAGGTAAAAACTGACATTATTATTCATCTTTCTCGATGGTAGAGACATCTACGTCTTGTAATTTAAACTATTGAAAACAGTCACATATCCTGCCATTTAACCTGCGCTTCTGATAGTTATAAATTCAATGCTCTGAGCAATGCATATCTGATTTATAGTTAATAATTGGGAGAGCGAGCGTTTTTTCTATTTTGTCGCTTAAGTGACATTCCTCGAAAAAGATGACGTTTGCGTTGTCAAATACGAGCGCAAATGCCTACTTTGGATATCGATTGTAGAAAAAATGAATTTATAGAAATGACGTACATCCAGTTGACCGCAATCATCCAGTCTGTTTTTTACTGCAGTAATGATCACGTTTGGGAAGATACCCAGACAGTCCAAGGCCTTCTTAGCATGGCTTCTTGGCAAATCAGGGTCTTCCAATAAGTTTCTAAAACTGAGTAGAAGTCACATTAGGAAGGGGACCGGTGTCCTCACGGGCCACTGAATGATTTAACTACCACGTGCACAACATGGTGTTGTATGAGAGCCCTCGTGCAGGTTCTGTGGCGAGGCAGATGAAACTATCGAGTGTGTGGTCTCACTGTGACGCTCTGATCAGAGACATCAGTTCCTTAGTGACCGTTACCTGGAACCGGGGAGGGATAGAGTAACCAAACGGGGCTAAACATGATCTTATCCTTTATTGAGAGGATCGGGCTCTACACCTACTGTTGCCCGGACCGGCTTCCCTTATGAATAGAATACAATACCCATTTTCACTTTTTAAGGTGGCGTTTTAAATTCTGCTATAAAATTAACAAATATATCGCCATACTGGTTTAAACTATTTGTCAACTGCTAACGGACTAAATATGGCGGGACAGACCAAGATGGCGGACATAAAAATAATAGCTTCAACAAGTTTCAAACACGTTCCATCCCAACATTACAATTCAATTACACATAAAGTAGAAGCCACAATACTAAAAGATGTTTCAATCGAACTTTGATGAAATTTGTCATGCTCTTCGCTCCTTCAAAAAAATCATATAACAGATTACAGAATTATGAAAATGTTACTACAACACTTATGTTGGTACATGGTTTTTAAGTTTATCAAAACGTACTAAATGGCAAATAGGTATTTGTACAACTAGAGAAGAAACGCTCATGTCGTGTCAAACTTTGAACTCGAATTTGAAAAACACTTTCTTCTCAAGTTTTACACATATTTTTTTCTGAAACTACAATAAAAAAGGATCGTATGCAATAATGAAGTTTGGCACTTAGCAATCTAGATACCAGTATGTTTCAATTTTAACATTTCCTCACTAGAGAGGAAAATCGCATTTTATTCACCCATTTTAGAGACGAAAGTAGTTGTTTCTGAAGTATAGTTTCAGAAAAAAATAATTATTCATTAGAAATTAAATTACACAACCATTGAGACCTGTTAAACTATATTTAATTATTGTTGCCTGCATAACTGACCGTTCGACTTTTGATTCGTCACGTTCCTCGTAGGGAAATTTTGCCACTGTCTTATAGGTAGGTAGGTACATGTACGTACACACATTTTAGACTTACGATTAATGAATTCCCTAATCTACGTGCAATTTTAGCAGTTCAGTTTGACACCAATTTCTGGTTTTACCTGTGTGTAATAGCATCTATACGTGCGAGTTTACATAAATAATGTGAGAGGTAGGTAACCATATTCAACGTCACCACAAAATAGGCACAACTCACTATATATAGCAAACGCAAGCAGTTTTCGCTCAGAGTGAATTCGAAGTAACAGTTAAAATGGCTCATTTTACAATCGTGGCAATTGCTTTATGTTCCATTTGCGTGGCGTCATTTGCCGAAAATGAAGGTAAAGGTTGCAATTAACATAACCACATGTGAATACTTATTGATTTTTGAATAGAAATATTAGAGTCGCGATCGTACATTTGCAATCTTCCTCCTACCTCAGGATTCTGTAGGGCTCGTTTATATAGATGGGTTTACAGTCCGGTAATGAAGAAATGTGTCAACTTTGACTACGGTGGGTGCGCTGGAAATGAAAATAATTTTGAGACCTTCGAGGAATGCATGTCGTTTTGTTCAGGTAATTTTATTAAACCTTCAGTTGCTTACAAAAACAAGGCGTAAGTATACATCTTCAATAACTTGTCTATGAAAAGGTGTTAGTTTGATTACCTATACCCCTATATATAGTATAGTAGGTTGTTGTTTCTGATGTTTTGCTATTACAGGGATTTAGAGGACGATATTGCAAATAAACAGTGACAAACTATCAATCAATCTTCATTTATGAAAAAAAAAGTTCAATAAAGTCTGACGACGCCGTTCATCAACTGAAGAAATTGATTATGGATAAGTTCACATTTTATTAACATTTCTGTGTGCCAATTGTGATAATGTACTTAAGTAATTAGGTTAGCAAATTTGTACAATTATACTTAATTTAATCATTAAAGTGTAAATATATCAATGGTTTCCATTTTTGACTATACTTTTCTACAAAAAAAGAGTATCTATTCATAAGTTCTCCTTTGTATCGCATTGCCACTTCAATAGTTGACATACAGCTGAAAATGTTCTCAAAACAACGAATGTAAAAAAATCGCCCAAAAAGTAAGGGTAAGCAGGCTGTGAGCACATGAATGTTGTGGTTGAAACTGAAACAATTGCAAATGGGTCTGTTGATTCATTTATTTCTGGTAAGCTCTTTTACTTATTCAATTATGATATTACCATTGAATATCAATGATATTACGTAGCATTATATTGACATTGTTTATTCTTTTAAGGCTCCTCCTCTTCTCGGTTCTTCCTGTTTTTCTTTATTTTTGTACCTGAATATTGCAATCTATATCGATATCATTTGACAATTTGACATCGAATTGGGATAGCAACGCCTTTTACATGGAACTGCCATTTTGAGTATCACGTGACATTGTTACATTGACCTACTTACAAATTATTACACATACAATATTACACATATTCAAAAAAATTCTCAATTTAGTCTGCTCAATATCATTTTCTTACCGTACCAAAACTGAAACTGAGAAATTGTCTTTGTTGAATAGTAAACAGTGCGAGGCGAAGCCGAGCTATGCACCGCTACAAATCAGAGCGGGCCATTTTTTAACCGAAATAGCTTTTGTTTTGACATCGCCAATGGATATATTTCTTGCAGACGTCTCAATCGCTCTTTGTGAGTACCCTCTTCTGACAATCCGTTCTTGAGGTATAAGGGAATATACCCGATCACGATAAGAGGTCGAGGAGGAGGGCTATGGTTGGTAGAAATTAATTCCTTTCGTTGGGACCTTTCATTAGAGTACCATGAAGGATAAAACTAACGCAAGCTTAAATTTATTACATTTTGTTTTTTGACCTCAGATTTGAAATCAGCGACCTCAAATTATCCTTAAAACATTACTTGCATGCCGTCCTTGAAATAAAAAAATATATTTTTAGTCAGAAACAGATTTTTTCTTAAATAGCCGCCATATTGGTTCCACATGGTGGGGGAAGGGGGTGCTGCGGGCCAAATCGATCTATTGGACATAAAAATCGACCATGCCAAACTGCATGCTTTCTGAGTTTTCTGTGTACCGGTTAGACTATGTACTTAACCCCCAGGTTCTACGCTAACTTCACACTACCAGAGCACGGAAATATAGTCAACCCGGCAACGTTTAAAAATGGCCACCCGAATGACTATTCCCTCTAAAACTAAACAAGATCTCGCTTAAATTTGAAATGTGGCACGTGATAAAACATCTAAGGCAGGGCCCCCTTACGTTAGTTGTAAACAACGCTTTGACCTGAAGTACAGTAGGGAAGGAACGTAAAATAAAACACTGAAATTGTGAAAAGTTTGTTTAATAATGATCGCTATTATTATGATTGTAAAAGCTCGGAAATTTAAGTCGAAATAAATTACATTGCAAAAATAAACTTTGAAAATAGAAATAGGCTGGGAAAAAAAAGAACCAATAAAAAAACCAGCCGTCAAATTAATATTAAATTGTGTAGTAAAATTAATTGTTTGTAATGATGTGAATGCGTAAAATAAAATTATAACATCACAAAAAGTAGCATGTAGACTTCAAGAGGTAAAATATAGGTTAAAAACAAGTTTTGGGAATTATGGATCAGGTAAGCAGGTACCGAGATTCTAAGAAAGGGTGAAATATACAGTATGTGACTCATCTTTGGTGCAATAAAGTCCTTTAGTTAGAAGCAAGATGGAAAATTACATGGCCTTGTAGGCAAATTTGACTAAAAACGAGATATGGGGAAATTAAGAATCGTAACTCATTTATCACACATGTATTCTAAACTGAAGAGCTTTGATTAGCGTAATCCCGCTCCGGCAAGATTGGTAACCCGCCCCTGGTTTCGGGGTTTCGAGCCTACAGTTGAATGTCGAAGACAATCACGGAATTAGGTGTTGAAACGCACAACAAATATAAAATGTGGCATACAAAACACAAATACGATATAAAGAAATGCAAAAATTCACGACGCGTTCACCACCGCCATTCAAAACAAGATGCCAAACGTCACCCCCGTTCGTGCTTTCTAGATGGCGCAAATGGCTTTCCCCTCCTAAAAATTGCGTGGTTGCATCGTCGTAAGTTGTATACGCAGGGTGGAACCTTTAAAGATTAATTCGTAGGAAAACATTTAATTATTGTTGAATTGTAAACTAGGTTATTGAAGTTACGTTACATTTATTCTTGCCACTTTATATAGAGGGCTCGTTTCCAAACCAACCGATCTTAACCGATCTTAGCAAACATGGTCTCGTTTAACAGCGCTTCATCTTTTATACCTGGTAATTTTACGGTCGTCACTAGAAGGCGCTAAAATACTCGATATTTTTCAGTATAAATCTAAAATCTGTATCTTATATTATTTTATATTATACTGGAGATATTGGCCAAACTATATGATATATGAATTCTTTGTTTTACTGGCGATTTTATCATATTGGATAATTTTAATGCTTAATGTTTATTATACTTTTAACAAGAACACAAAATGCCTGTTAAACTAGAACTATCTCCTTGTATACTCTTTCATTTATCACATTTGAACCCGAAATAACGCATTTAAATTTAAAGAACAAGTGACGCTTGGAAAAGTAAACAATTGAATTAAAGATTCATAAGAACCTTAAGACGCTTAAAACGCTGCCCATCATTTTCAATTGCAATGCACTTCGCAAGTTTCTGCCCAGTGAATAAAACGGGAGTTTCAAATTTCGGCCCTCGAAATAATTTGAAGAGCTTCTTCCTCGACTTCTTTTTTCCTCCTTGTGTTCCCTGGTTATGTCGTTGATTCGTCTCCACAGATAAAAATTTAAGACTGTGAGGTCCGGTGACCTAGCTGGTCATAGAAATATACGTCCTCGATCCTTGTGCAATCGACGATCTATTCAAGATATTCCGCTCGTGTTGAATTTTGTGATGTTACGATCGCGAATCAACAACAATTCAAATTTTCCCAAAAATATTGTTTTTTGAATGGAATCAAACCCAAACACCACTCCTCTCCACTTTCCTACTAAAAGCTGTTATAGAAAGAGTTTTAATTTAACAAACACAATATAATTAAATTACTCTTTACTATTGAACACTTTGGTACAAATACCTACCACGTGGCACCAATAGCACATAAGCATTACTTCTTGGCCAGCCACCCTAGTTTGGTCGCTTTCCAAATGAAACTCGTGAGTTAGTCCTGATTTCGGAGAAATATTATTACATGTAGCTTAAAAAACATAAGAATCACTCTTCCGCCTCCGTCACACTACGTGTGATCGATGTTCCAACGAAATCCGAGCATTAACCATAATTGTCTTATTGCATATAAACGTTACAAAGCAGAGATTAGGTTGCAGGTAGGACAATAAAAGGTACTTTGCGGTCTATTGTCTTGCACCCCATGAGTATGAGGTAACAAAAATGATAAAAACAGCATTTAACATTAAACACATTAAAGATCTTCAAGATTATACGCCAATTTTTCTGTTAGAAGTTGTCTTACTTTTTTTTGGACTGGATTTCTATAACAACAGTATAAACAATTCTATGCCCCGCACTAGTGGCGATTTACTGGTAATAGATTGAATGGGATGTGCAGATTCAGTCCTCTAGATTCATATTTATGCCTTGATTTATCATTAATAATTCAAATATGTATACCTTATATACAGTTAAGACACCCGAACGTTAGTAAGGGAGCTATTGCATTGGAAAATACACCTTTTTAAGCACCAGGAATCCGAATCAAACATGTCGGTCTGCCTGTGGATCCGTCTGTAGTCTTATTTCCGGTTAAACGGCTGAACCGATTGGAACCAAATTTGGTACACATATTCTTCATTTAAACATGAAACGTGTTTTCCTGATCGCTTCTTGGGAGTGCCTGTTCTCGAAGGCGAGCGAAAGTGTACTTCTTTGTTGGCGGCCAGTTTTGTTATGGGCGAGTATTTTGAAGGAGAACACCTTTCACTTTACCGGAACTCAGAAATTAAAGTACTCGGCCCCAAAGGGCCTCGCACTTCAATATTTCCTCGCCAGTAATGTGTCATTTTCCTGACTTTTATGTAAATAACTATTACTCTATGCTGCAATAAATGTATCAGATGCGTTTACGAAAATTACTTCTCGAAAATATTGCTTGAGTTTCATATATCTTCAAGAGGCATCTTTTTAAAAAAAAAAGTGTTAAACAATCAATTGTTGAACATATTAAATGTGCCTCTCGTAGAATTCAGAACTCTAATTTTGACCAAACCTTTGGATGCTCAATGATAAGGTTAGGTCGGTTTCTGAAACAGAGACGATGTTCGATGGGTAACAGTGCTAGTTAAACCAATTTGCTTTTTAACGTATATAATAAATCTTACGAAACCTACTAATAAAGTAATAGTCGTTATGCCGATAAGAAACCGTTTAATTTCTTTTTTATTAAGCGGAAATTCTTTTATTATACCTAATTGCTTCGTTGCATTTGCGGTAGCGAATTTTTTTTAAATAAAAGTCACCGTCAAATTAACACAACTGAGTATATATACGGAAACTCAACAGTTTTTGCGCATTGCATTGCGATCTTGTGGAAATTGGTTTTTAAAATGGGTAAACTGTATTATTGTCGAGTTTTGGTAATTGTCATTTTCGCGATTTTATTTGCCTACAGTACAGGTAAGTAACGAGCGCTATCATTTTAATCTCTTGAAGCTTAACTAACAAAAATGGTAGGGACTTGCACTCTTAATCCCAAAAAAGGAATCTGTAGAGCCAATATGCGTCGCTGGTATTATAGACTGGACAAACATGACTGTGAGACATTTGTATTTGGTGGTTGTAACGGAAATAGGAATAATTTCCGCACTTACGAAGATTGCATCTCAGTTTGTGGATGTAATTATTACTTTATAGTTACCTTTATTGCTGAAAAAACATCAAACATATTGCTTTCCATGAATGAGACGCGTTTACAAAGATGTCTCTTTAGATATCTAAGTAAGCGTTTTCATTTTTGAAAGTTCATTATGTTTATGCATCGAAACACTGCCAATTCATAAAACGTTGAGTATTAAATCATTCCTTTTTTCAATACTTTATTTTCTAGTTTTGGGCAAACCGGGCGACCGGTAGAAAGAATGATGCGAACAGCCATACATTTCTGGAAACATAACTGCAACATTAATAAAATTATGAAACGTATCTACCAACAATGCAGTATTATCACCTCTTCAACTTAATCAATTTATACATCTTTTACATGTTTACTTGTAGTGTATGATTGATTGATTCCAATAGAGTAGGTGGGTATATTGTTCCCAAAATTAAAAACACAATAAATTGCGTTCATATTTACCTACCTAAAATGTTATCCTTCCTCTTCCCGAAAACGCGCATTTTTCATACTTATGAAACAAATATCTAACTATTTTTGCATAATGAGATGACAATCCATTATGCCCTCTCATAGATTGCTTTATATACAGGGTGATTCCTATAGTACCTGCCACCGTTTGGGAGCGTGTAGGTGGTGCGTAGGGGAGTATTTTGATATAGGACACTTGGGGTCGGAAATCTAAAATAAGGGTGCCAGAGCCAAATTTACTTTCTGGAATTTCGCGCCTGTAGGTAGGCAACCCAACCGGCCGGCGGTGCACACGGAGCGATCTCAGGCGGCGATGTGTGGCTGACACTTGATCAGAATTTTGTTTAAATCCACGAAATCCCGTCTGCAACGACGCGTATCAAGTGAATAAACCGAGGGGTAAACCGCAACCCAAATTTTGTACACTGATTTCCTATAAATATTAGATTTCCTCTGAGTTCCTTCGAGTTCTTCAGAGTTCATTTGATTTCTTCGGAGTTTCCCTGATTTCCTCCGAGTTCCTCCAACTTCCACGGAATACCTCTGATTTCCTTGGAGTTCCCTCGATTTTCTTTTGGAGTTCCTGTGAGTTCCTCTGATTTTTTAAAGTTTTTTAATTATTTCATTGTTATTCCGTTGATTTAACAATTTCCTGGTAAGTAAAACCCGAGGTAAAACCATAAAAAAAATATAAAAGTGTCAAGTGTCAAGTTAAAAAGTAATCGTAAACGATTTACATAAAGCGCATTTCCACTTGCATTCATTTCCCATTTGTAAGATGCAACTTCTGTTAAAATCGTAAAATCCGGCCACAAATATGAAAGATAGCATTGCACATGGGCAATCCATTGTTGACGTGCTACTTCAATTTCAGTTTATGAGAAGAATTTCATTTCAATGCTTTTCTAAATAAGAAAGTTGGAACTGCGCATGCGCAAACCTAAATTTTAAAACTAATGTTAGATTTTCCTTTGTTCCAAGCGCCTAAGTATCAAATTTCACTTAAATAGTTCCATAGATAAAAAAGTTGGCACTGCGCATGCGCAAAATAAAATTTTGAAACTGGCGCTAGATTTTCCTTAATTCCAAGTATCACATTTCATTTAAATTCTTCCATAAACAAAAAAGTTGGCACTGCGCATGCGCAAAGCCAAATTTTGAAACTGGCGTTTGATTTTCCTTTATCCCAAGTGCCTATGTATCAAATTTCGTTTAAATTCTTCCATAAATAAAAGTTGGCACTGCGCATGCGCAAAACCAAATTTTGAAATTGGCGTTTGATTTTCCTTTATTCGAAGTGCCTATGTATCAAATTTCGTTTAAATTCTTCCATAAATAAAAAAGTTGGCACTGCGCATGCGCAAAACCAAATTTTGAAATTGGCGTTTGATTTTCCTTTATTCCAAGTGCCTATGTATCAAATTTCATTCAAATACTTTTATAAGTAAAAAAGTTTGCAATTCGGTTTATAAATGGTCGAGATGCGAAAAGGGCACTGTGAATTTTGAATCGATTCGATTCAACTTTTGGCATTGCGTATTATATGGCTAAATCTATGCCCATATTGAATTTCATGCAATTCAGTTCATAACTAACGGAGATGTAAAAGCGATCGAACATTTCTAAACAAAGTTATCGTTCACACGGACAGATAGATGGACAGACAGACAAAGGAACAGACGGAGAGACCAACCGGCAGGCGACAGATAGCAATGCAAAATTATAAACGATCTCTAGGATCGTTAATAAACGGCAAAAGTGTACAATTATGGAACATGTAAAAAACGGTTTTTTGTTTTTTTTACAATAACTTTTTTTGTAAGCGGTACAGAAAAAATTCCTTCCTTGGTACAAGACTCGACACCATAACGAACCAAATAGCGAAAAAAGTAGAACAATAGCTCTTAAGATAAAGAACTCGTAGCGTCGCAAAGTTAGCGGACGGACGGACGGACGGATAGACACGACCTTAGACGAAACACTATTTTATATTTTAATAGACCTATTTGCAATGAGAAAAACTCATTATTAAATGAGAAAAATACCATAAACAAATAAAAAAATTAGTTAAGACCAAATTAAATAATAAAATGCAGCACGAGTTCCCTTGATTTCCTCGGAGTTCCTGTGATTTCCTTGGAATTCCTCCTGAATACACATGGAATTCCTTCGAATTCTTAGCTTTCCTAGGAGTTCCCCCGGAATTCCTATGATTTCCCATAGATTTCCTCAAACGTGTACTCTGATTTCCCATCGCGGTTTACCCCTCGGAATAAACACTATGGCACGTTTTACTAACACGGAATACGCGGACATGCACTTCATGTACGGATTGGCAAATGGTAACGCACGAGCTGCACGACGAGCGGTGAGCGGTATCCAAACCGTCAGTTACCCTGCAGACAGGTCTTTCAAGAAGTTCACTTCCGACTGTGCGAGACAGGGCAATTGCAGGTAAGCTGACGGAGGCTTAACTTTACACACAGATTCGTGATGCACATCGATACTTGGGTCATTTAAGCACCCATTTCGAAAAGTTTGTTTGTTTACACCGACCTCCTCCTATTTCGCAGCCCACTAGCGCCCGTGATCGCGATCGCCCGTTGGTAAATGCCTTAGAGGAGGATGTGTTGGAACGTTTCGAGGCAAACCCGCGTACTAGCACTCGACTTGTAGCAGATCAGGTGGGTTGTAGTCAACACACAGTGTGGAACATCGCCAACAACAACAACTTACATTACACCCCTATAAGTTTAAGAAAGTGCAAGAGTTACGGCCGGATGACCATGAAAGGAGGCTGGAATTCTGCAACTTAGTCGTCCAGGAGGAAGAAGCTAATCCGAACTTTCTGAGGAGCGTGCTAGTTACTGACGAGAAAGGATTCTCAAGAGAGGGGACCTTCAATCCTCGTAACAGCCACTACTGGGCGGAGCACAATCCTCATGAAACGTTTACGCGAGGATACCAGGACAAGTTTTCTTTAAACGTTTGGGCTGGCATCCTGGGGGACAACCTACTGGGGCCTTACATCCTCCCTCCGCGTCTAAATGCCCATAATTACCTGATTTTCCTGCGCGAGGTGCTACCAGAACTTTTAATGGATGTTCCAGTGAACTTGTACTGGGACCACTGGTTCCAGCACGATGGGTGCCCTGCTCACTACGGGCGGCAGGTGAGGGAACACTTGGACCAAACCTATCCGGACAGATGGATCGGCCGTGGAGGTGCGGTGGAGTGGCCTGCCCGCTCGCCCGACATCACCCCATTAGATTTTTACTTGTGGGGTGTGATGGAAGCGCACGTCTACGAGACTCCCGTCGAATCCGAAGAGGACTTAATTGCGCGCGTCGTCATGGCCGGAGAGGCTGTTCGCCAGGACATAGGAGTCTTCACGCGAGTTCGAGGGGAGTGGTTGGCTAGATGTAGGAAGTGCATTGAGAACAACGGTGGCCACGTTGAACACTTGTAAACGTTATTGCTTTTGACTGTCGTTTTCCCTCCTTCCCTCCCATGTCGCTTCCTCGCGCTAACTCGCTCTGCATCGCTCCGCGCGAAACGTCGGTCGGTTGGGTTGCCTACATACAGGCGTGAAATTCCAGAAGATAAATTTGGTTCTGGCGCCCTTATTTTGGATTTCCGACTCCAAGTGTCCTATATGAAAAGACTTCCCCTAGGCACCCCCTATACGCTCCCAAACGGTGGCAGGTACTATAGGAATCACCCTGTATATCTCATATCACAGATATACTTGACTTGTGATTCCAACGAGTTGAGTCTGCATGTCTTCTGTGATGCAAGCCAGAACGCCTACGCAGCTGTGATGTTTTTAAGAGAAGTTTTCGTTCGATTATTAGCTGGAAAAAGTCGAATTGTTCCTTTGAAGAAAGCAAAGATACCCAGACTAGAACTCCTGACAGCCCTAATACAGTGCGATCAATAATGATTTGCTACGCCGCTTCAGTAAATTATGACATTAGTAATCATTTGCCGCAACAGGCGTGGTGCACCTATACTAAAACATAACCTTAAAGTAAACTTTTGACGTTGAACCATATTATTAACATAAATCAACGATTTAACAACCTTGTAAGTTTCCAAATTATGTGGAACTACACGAATAGCAAATTACTACAAAAATTGAAACTATTTTATTTCTTTTACAACTCGTTAATATCGAAGTAATTGGATAAATTACATGCACACTATAACAACTGTTCGAAGTGCCGGCCACCATTATTAAGACAGAGATCCACTCTTTTCTTATTAGCAATCACTAAGCGGCCAGGTGACTTCCCAGAAGCAAGACTTCCTGTATGTAAAACCGCTCAAGTAAACGATGAGCATTTCGGCGTATATTGTTGTAATCCTCGTCATGGTTGACAATCATTTATCGAAACTCCTGTATACACAAACGTATCGAGTACTCCCAAACTCCACTTTCGTCTTTAGTCCCATTACGGAAACAGGATTGCAAACGCATCTTATTCTCTTCTAAAGTAAAAAGGCTTGTCGGAGTAAACCTATTGCCTATTACAAGCTACAACTAAAAAAACGTCTGTTTGTAATTTTTTACCCACTTTGTAAATATTCGAAAGAAACTGGTAGTCTTGAAAAAAGCCGTTTTGAAAGGGACGAAAGTAATAAGAATCACAAATTATGGTTTGTGAAATTATAGGTTATGTTTTGTATTGGTACACATATACCTGGTTGCGGCAAATTATTACTAATGTGATATTTTATAAGAGCGGCGCAGCATATGATTATTGATCTCCCTGTAGGAGCTCGGTTGTCCAAGTCATTTTTTTGTGGTTTGGCAGAGGGAATCAAAACTCATTTCTGGAGTGACTCCATCACAGTTCTGTCGTGGGTCAAACGACGAGAACAATGGAGTGTCTTCGAAGCAAATATAGTTAACAAAATTTGTTCTCTATCATCGCCTATGGAATGGAATCATGCGACAGGTTCGAAAAATCCAGCTGATTTACCATCTTGAGGCATGATACCCTCCACGATGCTTGAATCTCGCTGGTGGGAGGAACGGAATTGGTTGTACAAGTCTCCAGATAAATGACCGATTTTTTCGGAGCAGTGTGATGAGAATGAGGTAAACGGAGCACGGATAGCGAGATGTTTGAGCACACATTCAGATTCCATCGAGATATGGCATTTGGACTATTTCTTTTTTTTTTATCCCTCTCTTGTTTTTGGGCCCTCAACAGGCATGCGCCCAATTACAGAGTGACCCGCATAATGCTATTTAGAGGTGCCTCTGCAGAAGGTCTTAAGTTGGTCTATACTACTCCGGTATTTACCTTACGAATTAGGAAAACTGCAGGAAAACCTAATTCGGAGTAACCGGTAGAATGCTCGGAACTGGTCTAAGGTAATTTCCATCTCCGCCACAGATGAAAAATTCACCTCAACTCAGGTTCGAACACCCGACCTCCGGATTTATAACCCAATGCTCTACCACTGAGCCACAAATCCGATTTCTCGAAGTTTAGCAAGATGTTGCGCATGATGGGGGTGGATTTTGAGATTTCTGTACAACTGCAGAACTACCTACATAGAGAAGTGCTATGTAACTGCCCGTTTCTGTAGTTGAAGCTGTAAGTGTAGCTGCGGATTTCTGTAAGCCTGATATATATGTTGATACATGTGTTGGCTGGTTATTTCAGTCACCTTTTTGTCGAATAGCGGTGAACAGCTACTAGCAATGTGGCCATTCCTCTTACAAGGGAAGCAAATCAATTATGAATGTGTTTATGAAACCCAACAAATGTAACAAGAAAATTTTGTCGTAATTGATGCACACAAGAATTGTTTATGACACCCTCTCTCATTGTAGGCAACCACCTATATTTTTGATATTTGGCCATGTACTCTTACATTAGTCCACATGCCAATTGCTCCCGGACCTTCAGACCGGCATTTATACTAGTGCCCTATTGCGTACCATGCGGAAGTGACGATCAGGGGAATTTATATTTGTATTCCATCGACCTTGCCACTTTGTAATTAGTGTTCCCTACGAGGAAAAAGTAATTACTAAATAGGATTTATTGTAGACGCTTAATTACAGTGAAAAGTGTTACATACTTAAATTCAAATTACAATACTTTCTCACCTAAACTAATTAATACACGTATACTTTAATTAATAACACAAATGCATATGTAAAATTGCTGAAAATGTTGATGAATCCAAACATAGGAAATATGTTTTCAGGTTTGTAAGTTTCTTAAAATTTCTTGTCACACTTTTACCCGAACCCCTACAAAAAAGACATAAGTGACCAGGAAGCCGATAGATAATTAGACAAGTAAAAGAATATAATAAGCGCAAGAATTGACTGAATTGACGTTTTGGACCTCCATAAAATCGAAACATGAATGGAGCTATTCTTATATTTACAAACGGTAATAATTACCTGAACAAAATGACTTGCACTCCCCGTAAGTGTCAAAATTGTTTTCATTTCCACCACAACCCCCATATAGAAATCCCATACAATCTCTGGTCTGTGGGTTATAGAACCATTGACGCATAGCGGCCCTACATGGTCCTACTTCGGCCCGCATTTTGCAAATCGACGCTCTCTGTTCTATTTTAAATGCGTTAACGTTTTAGTGGTGACAACATTTATTGCGATACTTTACCTTGATTTTTGGCAAATACCACCAAACAAATGGAACACAAAATAACTGCGATAACTGTAAAATGAGCCATTCTAATCAGAAGCACTTCGGAAATTAGACTAATGCGCGGAACTCAAACCACTCGGTATATAGCGATGCGATAGCAGACTTTCCTTTCGACAAATTAAATGATAATCGGTATGTTATCGACGTATTGACATATAAATTCATTAGCAGTGGCGTAACAATTCAAACATGTTAGTCGCGGTACCTATACAATAGCTTCAACAGTCAACCCATTTGCAGTCACCTTGTACATTTTAGACAGATGCAGATACATACACTATACACTACGAAACATATGATCCGCGTGTCCACTTTAATTTTAAACACAAATACTTCTGTTTTGGAAAAATCAGACAAAAATAGTATATTGTGTACCAAGGGCGAAAAGTTCTTTCGCACCTTCTTTTTGTGTTCCGTTCTCTGCTTGGCTCCCTAATAGTATTTTTTTTCAAATTTTGACATTGCGGTTTCGGTCAAGCAGGTTCACGTTCCATGACTGCCATCTTCAATTTTAAAATTGCATTTCCTTTAAATTTCGCATTTTTTTTCGTAAAAACATAAACTCAGTTATTTCAAAAACAAAGATGGCGTAGGGCGTTCAATTGCTTTTGCAATAACCTGCTTTAACTTCTTAATCGTTTCACCGATTTAGGTAACAAATTTGGTATCGTTGAAAAGAGCATTCCTTGGGCAACAAGAATCAACCAAAATATAGGTTAATTTAGTTGAATCTTTCTCCGCCGGAGGTCGGAAATTCGTATCATTCCATTTGATTTTTTAGGGTTTTGGCGGAGAAGGATTCAACTAAACTAAATTAACTATATTTTGGTTGATTCTCATTGCCCAAAGAATGCTCTTTTCAACCATACCAAATTTCTTAAAACCGGTCAAACGGTTAAGAAGTTAAAGCAGGTTATTGCAAAAACAATTGAACGCCCCACACCATTTTTTTTTGGAAATAACTGAGTTTTTGTTTTTACGAAAATGATAGATAAACTGGTTCTCTTTAAAAATGTGAAAGAATTTTTTTTGTTTATTATGCGAAATTTAAAGAAAATGCAATTTTAAAGTTTAAGATGGCAGTTACGCTCTCTGTAGGCCATTTTTAGAACTTGAAAATATTTTCCAGCGATTCTTCATGACCGATTTACCTAATAATTTTATTTACCCCTAAGTCATATGACGAACGGTTCTCGAGATATGGCCGAGGAACAGTCTTATTGGGTCACCCGGTACATTATAATTGCGCCTCTACTACTTCTCGCTCAAAATCATGGCAACCATTGTCGCAATTATCAATGCTATGGATTTCAAGGTACGCTAGATAAGCTCCGCTGAAATTTGTCGATATAAACGGCCATGAATGTCTGAGTGTCCGATTCGGTTCCTCAGGGGATGAAAGTGTTCGTTCAAGCGTTGCAGTTGTAGAGCAAACATTTCTATCAATTTCTTGACATTAGGGAAGTTGTGCAGTCAGAGCAACTTCAGTTTTGTCAGTTGTTTTTGATTTTGGAGAGTTGTAGAATTTTCAGGGTTCCTTTGTTGTGGAACTTCGTGAAATTGAAAGGTACACTTGGGACCGTACCGATTTAATATTTGTTCAGTCGGTATACCTACAAGTGATATACAGGGTAAGTAATTAAGCATAGTGTAAGTACACTATGGTAAATGTGAGTAAATAAACACTTTTTGTTTGCCATGCGACATCGTGCATAGGTATTTTGTTGTTATCGCACGCAGAATAGAAAAATACATAAGAAATGTGGAAAAAACAAGACATTACGCATTAATATTGTATAAGCAAACCGATTCCTTCGTAAATAACGGAGATAATCAACCGTTCGGGAGCTAAGGCTGATTAAGGTGGCTAGGGCCCGTATCGATTCATTATCATTATCATTATCTGTAATCAATTTAATTCGACAGTGAACAGGTAGGTACAATCCGGAAGTATGGGAGGTCAAGGACGTCTTCACGTGGTCTTATTTTAGGTAGTGTACCAATATACAGCGTTGTATAACCCTAGTTTTCTTTAAAATGAAGTGTTGCAATCCCCTTCTGGTATGGCGATTAGGCCGGCTAGGATTAAAGCCTCTTAAAAGGAATCTTCCGAGCGATTCAAACAACCCTTTTGAAGCGCTAGTTGAATCTTTCGGCAACCGCGGAGGGCTTTGCCAATTGTGTTTGATTCAGACCGATTTAAAGCACAAAACCGGACTTGTAACCCTACAGGAATTGTCGTCACGGCTAGTAAGGCAAGTAAGATGGGCTAGTGAATCAAAACTTAACAATTCTAGGGAGGAGAGTAACAATTATGAATGAAAGTGAAAGCAATCTAGTGAATAGCGAAATAAATGGACAAAAATAATTCTGGTTTCTGGTGTGGCTTCTACGGGAATACGGTTCTATATTAATATATGGTGATGAGTTTTGGTTGGTTAGTAAGCTCTGGTCAAGATCTCGGGAAAGATGCTTTTATAAGGAAAGGAAGAGGACCAAAAAGTGTGAATTAAAAAGGATCCTTTAAAGGATGGGGATATTAGGTTTTTCAATCAACTGACCTCGTATAAACGCGATTAATATCTATCGATTCAGGACCGGTATTTCCATCTTTCGATAAATTTATTCGGTAGATAAGTACCGTGACAACGATTGTATCGACAATGGCATTCACGGAATTTATTCGAACAATACATTATTGAGAGGTGGAAATACCGTACAGTGACTTTATAGAGACAATCAAATTGACAATATCAACTTTTTCTTCAGTTCAGTTCAGAATACTTCGCATACGAACAAAAATAAAAATATGGAAGCCAAAGCAACAATATTCAAATTAATTAATATGACAGCCGATCTTTATTTGTTTTAGGAAGTTAATCTGGTTGCATAAAATTAGGCGCCCTTCAGATTTGGTCATTTAAAAGTAGACACAGCGAAAAACAATACACGTAAATCCCTATGTCTACTACTTAATAAATAGCACTGTATATAACATTGTATTGTTGTGTACGCAACACATGTCAAACGTGTATTGTATGTTGCCTATTTTTAGTTTGAATTTTCGATGCAACATGGCGACTGGGTTCCTCTTGTCCCCACTGTCTCTGTACATTGAAATAATTTACTTTTGTATGTACAAACATAGGATAATTCCATTATACGAGATCAAATTTGGTGGGTTTGTGTATTATAAGAAGTCTGATAATATTGTAATGCCCTGCCGAGTAAACCTTAAACTAAGCACATGGAAACAAGCTTAATGTACAAAAGCAGGTAATAATGTAATTAAAATTAATGAACAAGAACATGTGTAATGCACAAAACAACATGCAACATTAACTTTACACTGAAAGGTCATCTCGAATGCCCAAAACGGGACTGAATAATCGTTAAGTTTTTGAGCGTTATATCCATTTCTAAAATTCGGGGAACACCTACTTACTAAATTGTCAAATGTGGCTTCGTGCTTCTAGGAGACCAGGAATGTTTTCAAACAGCCGTTTAGGTTTACGTTTCACTTGTGAGTTGTGACCGTTTCGAGACTTGCGTGTCATCTAATGGTATTTTTGTTAGTTCGAATGGTGCGAGGGTTGGAGCTAAACTTGTAAAAGGTAAGGGACTGAACGCATCTCATTCATCCTACTGTTTTCCCTAAAAAACACTTTAAAGAATATATCGATTTATTAATTACATATTATAATTAATGCACATTGGTTTTAGAAAAAACTCAAATAAGCAAATCAACGCGCGACACTTATTATAATTAGAAAACAAAAATGGTACTTTTTCAGTGGATGAATCCCCTAATGGAACCCTTTTCAAGCTTAAGTGATTTAAAAGCTTCTTCTGTATTGTTTCTCATCTGAACTCCTGCAACAACAAAAGAAAAGATAACCACAAGTACCTTTAGGAATAATGCAATCATCTTCAAAGAATTACCTTTACAAAATTTCTTACACTCGCGATAAGTACGGAAATTATTTTTATTTGGGTGACAACCACCGAATATAAACTGGACGCAATCTTGTATAAATGGCCAATAATACCATCGGCGCATACCTGCTTTACAGGTGCTGATGAATTCGCGAAGGTTGCAAATGTATTCTCTCGAGCCTATTATTTTACATAATTAAAAAACGCCTTAGCTATTAATTACGACCTTGGTCCTCAACTTTGAAAAGTGATGCAACACAAACGGAACAGAAAACTATTGTTAGAACTGTAGGATGGAACATTTTAGCCACCACTTTGCTTAGTGCACACTTTCGGAAATGTACCTATCGTATGAGAATGCATACGAGACTGCTAGCGAAAACTGCGCTCAGTACATATAATAAGCTGTGCTCACGTGGTCCTCTTCCTAAGCGTCACCGAAATGAAATCCATACATCTTTTGGGATTCATGACACTTGTGGTATCATTACTTTTAGTGTTGAAAACACTTATAGGATGCTAGTTTCGAAGTTGTATGTAACGTTAAGATGAAACGCCCATATGTTAGCGAGAGTAGGGAAGGGTGAGTTATTCTGAGTGACTTTGAGCATGATGCGCACCGCATACGTCGGCTCCGGTTGGTAATAAGCAAAGGGGTCAGAACTTATCAGCGTTTCTTAATATAATACACAAGATAGCCAAACGCAGATGTAATTACAAGTGTGTCTGTCTGTTAGCACAATATCTCGAAAACGAGTGGGGGTGACCTCTTTTGTGACTTGTTTCCGTACAATTGTCTCTCGTACAGATATTTTCAGGATAATGAAGCTTGCATTTATCTCGACCGCGTTCAAAACATGAATTAAATTTTCAAAGAAATAACTCGAGTTGTTATTTGTGCACAAGAATAAAAAGCTAAATACCAACTCCCCTACACACGTTAATTTTTCGTCCTATTATTTGAGTTTTGTCCGAAATACCACTTTAAATAACGGGGCGTCAAAATAAACGTATTGTCTCGTTTTATTTCCGGAGTTGGAATGAGGTGTTGATATTAAACAGGTGGTTAATCAGCTGTAATTTAGTTATTCAATGCAGGCATGGATTCTGATCAAGGCTACCGGATGCAGGTATAGGAAATACAGGAAGCCTTTGCTTCAACTTTAAATTTTAGGTTTGGACTAGACCCCGACACAGTGCATATAACCGAGGCAATGGTCTACTTAAATGAAAAAGAATATTGCCTCGATGTAGCTCCCAAATAAGGTCGGCAAGGATTTACCTGGTGACGGCTTTCACCCAGTTCAAGCTACTTCTTCTTAAAGTCAGCTGAATCGAACAGAAAGGACGGAGATGATGATACTTGGGTTCAAGTCCCATCTACCGACTGATGAACGACACCAGAGTAACACAGGTGAGTAAAACGGCAAAATGCAACTAATTATCTAATTAACAGCCCTTACGATCGAGGGAGCTGGGGCTCTCTCGTTTCTCTCTCTAACTTTCTATATGCCCAAGTCGGCCGACGAAACGTACCTAACGCAATTGCCACTGGCCTGCCCGTCTCTAAACGATTCTACGCAGCTTCTCGGCCAGCCCGGGGATCGCTTAATTCGCGGCAACACGCTTTTCTCGAGACGTTCGCCTTATCGCTTGCTTATCGTTATAAACACGCGCGTTCATCTTTCATATGAAGTGGTACATAATTATGTCAATTTTCTTATACTTAAATGAAATTCGAAAAATGTAAAACCGCAACGCAAGCTACCATTACAAACTCAAATTTTTTAAGTACAATCACATTTCATTCTAATTCCTCTTAAAACTCCAAAGACATTTACTTGCTTCGACACTTTTTCCCATCTCTTTATGTTTTTAAGAAGGCGCAAGCGAAAATTATATGAGCAACTTGCAGTAGGACAGGATTTATAGAGAAAAGTACTGTAGTGAGACTAAGAAGCAAGAACTAGGAATAATTACACTTGCTTATTATACCGCTCACCTTTATCTAGGAGTGAAGTATCTCTATAGTCGATTCGCACTGAATATAAATAACAAATGCACGTTTCACCATCTTTCCTCTATAAACGGGTATGCTTTAGTACCTCCCGAACGCTTTCTTTAAAAGTTAAATATCCATACCTTAAGAACAACATAAAAAATCAGGCACGCTAGAAACGTAAATTTTTCGCCTTTATTGCTTTAGTCTCATAACCGAATTCTGTTTATGCCCCACGTCATAAAGATGGTAAGCTAGCGACTCTGTTTTGCTAGAAAAAAACTGTTTTTCCGGAAAAAGAGCACGATACGCATATTAGTGATAACGAGGGTCCGTACGACGGAAATAAAAAGCCAGGTTGATTGCAGTCGAGATAAATAAACAAGTTCATTGCCCGATTTAAACAACATTAGAAATGAAACAACATTTAAAGCTAACACACACAACTGTGTGACTCATGTTATTACGCCTAAATGGACAACCTAACGTAGCTAACTACAACAATAAACAACGATCTGTCTTTCATAGTATTTGCAACTTAAATTTCTCTTAATGTGTTAAAACAAAACAACACCCTATTCTGGAGCTCAGCAACTTATACGTACCCAACGAATTGAAATCAATTACTAGAGGGGGAGATTTACGTTAATTTATGCAAAATAAGTAACAGTCGAACCATTTAATAATCATTATGTATAGTTGTAATGCCTGTTGTAGATTTATCTTATTAATTAAGTAGAGTACAACATTGCTATAGTGAAATTAAGAAAGACATTTGTTACCGTGAATATAACACGACGATAATAAATGTTTATTTGAATGGTTAGAATTTAGCGTCGTGTCATAATAGATATCTGAACTGTAGGTGCACGGGCTAAATGAAGTATTTAAATTAATAGGTTAAAATTAAAGTCATATTATATCTCGTAAATTAGTGAGAAACTGTTAATTAACAAATGATTAGGGTCTGTCATTCATTAATCTAATGTTATTAATAGGCATTTACATACAAAGGGATAGCGGTATAACATCGCAGTTGGCACCAGTGCCAATAGAGCGCGGTTTGAGGGGATAGACAGTTTGAAACGCTACGACCGAAGCAACGGGCACGTAGTGATAAATTATATAATGAAAGCTTGACCAGTCGACACTTTAGCTATAATTTTGTGCATGGTAATTTAGAAGCGGATGCTTTCGAATACGACAGCCGAACTTTGCCACGTAATTTTCATGAATTCGATAATTATTAGAGGGCATCGGTTGTATTTGCCCATGTCGTACGTATTACTTTTGTTTGCTGCAAATTACAAGCGTCTTATTTTCTCACAAGATAGATCCTTTTCCTATTGATCACCAACGGTACCCTTATTACTTCTTGGAACAACTATATCAACAAGAAATGCCTCTGATTATAACATAATTGACAGTCGACATACTTCAAATCCTTCTATCCTCAACACTTATCAACTACCAATCATAGTAGAGGTGACGCTTATATTAATGTAAAGTTTGCAGCAATTGGGCTCATGAAATAAAGACGTCTTCAAATTTGATTGTTCATTATGCCGTTAACCCACATAATATAATGTATGATATTAACTTATTGAATTTGAATAAAAGAAAGTTTATTGAATAAGTTATCAAAAGTGTAAAATGAATCAAAATGCCAAAAGAGTTCCTACAAATTTAAACAGAATGCATTTAAAGCCATAATCCATGTTCCCCTAGAACTCATCGGACAAAAGAACCGAGCAGAAGAAAATTTCTAATCGCTGTTCATAGAGGCAAAATTTGGAGCAAGAGAGGTAACTGTGGAAAACGCTCAACACACGTTTTACATCACATCATGACTTGAATGGTCAGTTCAAATAGATTTCAAAGCAACTCCACTCCTTTCCCATTTGTGAAAAATAACATTCCGAAGTATCTTACATAAAGTACATGAAATACATTATTAATTAGCCGGACCTTCTCCAGTCCAGAAGGTATCTGAAGGTCCTGTATACGGTAACCTTAGGCTAAAGTTGCATTTGGAGATGAACATTTTAACACTTCGGCATTTACCTCTGCACGGACGAAACAATTAAAGACATTCAAAAAGGGCAGATTTGTACACAAAGAATTTAAGTCGCTAATCAATCTAACTGAGCTTAAACAATCAAATGAAAATTAATAACTGAGATAACATTGACAGCAAATAAAACCAAATTCAAGGATCACTTACCCTGAGTTACAAACAGCTAAAGGGAACATAATTTACAAGTAATTTCAATTAAAACTAAGACATTACCTTTTTGAAATGGAAAATGGCTCAAATCTTACACAAAAATTGGTAGTAAAGTTAAAAACATTCGACTGAACACAGAAAACAAAGTGACGCTACATTTTACCATGAACCTGTATGAACTAAACAAAGTGCAAAATCGGCAAAGATAAATCAAGACACCATACAAACTCAAATGGTTTTTAAAAATTGGTGATATATAAATTGCGATAGTATTGTAAAATGACAGCATTCTATTTTAAGGTTAATGCATCTCCAGCGATGTCTCTATATACGCCGAGGGGTTACCCACTCACTTAGTCCTCGGTACACCTTTCGGTTTAGTTCGATTTTAATCTGTTTAGTCCTGTTTAGTCGTCTTAGTCCGAACTATTCCAGTTTAGTCCAGTTAAGTACGATTTAGTACTATTTAGTTCAAATTAGTCCATCCTAGTCCAGTAAAATGTCATCGTTGCAGGTAAAATCGAAGGCTGGATAGAGGACGAGATCGAGGGTGAAATTGTGTGATTTAAAATAAAATGGAGTATGTTGATGATCATTTATTGCTACAGAAATTAAAAAAAAAACAAATTCTGCTTTGTCAGTGATCAATAAAAAAAACAATAACATCAGAGTGCATATATGTATGTTTGTTCATGTCACAATAATCGTATCCTATAAACGTAAGACGTAAGCTACTCACACAGAGAGGAAAAACTCGGGAAAATACGAGGGAAAATGATAATAATTCGAATAATAATTATTTAGATTTGCGTCACAGTTAATGCAAGAGCGAGTATTTACTACGTCACAAGCAGGGACACGGTCAACTCGCCAAAGGCGACTCGCCACCGCACCACTCGCCACCGACCGACTAGCCAACGGGACAACTCGCCAACGCGACAACTCGTCAACGGGACAACTCGTCACCGCGACAACTCGTCAACGGACGACTCGCCACTGCGACAACTCGCCAACGAAATATTTTTCCCTGTTTAATGTGTCATACAAATGCATCCCACAAATACAATAGTCAATTTCCCTAATTTTGTAAACAAAGTTTATCGAAAAATTGTAGTCAATATTTGAATGAAGACCCAACCGCCAATACCTGTTTCTATTACTGTATTTTGATATAACGACATCTTCTGCAAATTACCTGGTTCTAAGGTAATTATAGTAGACAAAATCACCCTGCTAACATTTTCCAATACATTTTTAATGACAGACAGTTTCTTTTGTTTTCCCTTTCAAGTAATGAGACGCCGCATTAGGAGTTTTAAGTGCAATTTGAGTTTCCTATCTTTACGTTGGCATTTTGCTTTTATTTTGGAAATCGGGGAATCTATTACTACCACGCAACAGGGAAAAATATTTCGTTGGCGAATTGTCGCAGTGACGAGTCGTTCGTTGGCGAGTTGTCGCGGTGGCGAGTTGTCGCATTGGCGAGTTGTCGTGGTGGCGAGTTGTCGTAGTGGCGAGTTGTCCCGTTGGCGAGTTGTCGCGTTGGCGAGTCAGTCGGTGGCGAGTGGTCCGGTGGCGAGTCGCCCTTGGCGAGTTGACGCGTACCGGCGACTTGCCGAAGTGCAAGATGAGTCGCACGCGTATGATTTAGTTTAATTTAGTCCGATTTAGTTCGCCTTAATCCAATTTAGTTCGAGTTAATCCAATTTAGTCCAATTTAATCAGGCTCCAAGACCTTAACCATACAAGCGCGAGACTTCAGCGCCAAACATACAAGATTCGTCCGCGTGTTGCAGATAACAATAGTAGGGGAGCTCAATAGGTGATGTTGGGATTTCATCGAGCGCGTCAGATTAAAGTGAGGTGGGTTGACTACGTGTTGAAAACTGTGCATTTTAATCATTTGACAATTTGAGCGTGGCGTGATGGAGTGGTAAAGTCACAAACTTGCAAAAAGAAACGTTACAGTGAAATTTTTTTGTATTTCGAAGGAAATTATTAAAGAATAACGAAAGTAATATAATCTGCCGATTTCCACACTCCAAAGTGGAGCAAATCGTCAATAAAGCTCAGTGCGTTCAGCAGTTGATGCACCTCAGTTGACTGAGATCATAGGCGACCGTGTCATAAATTATACGTACAAAGCTCTAAATATCTTACGCGCTCAAATAAATCCCGGTTTCTATCCTTCCGTACACTCTCCTTCACCATGCAAACCTGTAATAAAACGGGGCCTAAATAACAAACAATGCACGCTAAACGAGGAACAATGTAACCGTTCATTTTTTAATCCCTTCAGTTTAAAAAAAAAACACCTTTGCCCAAATTGTAGGGACGCTAATGGCATAATAACAATATTAGTTCAAAAGAAACTAATACATGATTACAGTTGAGTTTTATGCCTTATTTCAGAATTAAACGTTTCCTTTGTTAGCCTATTTCTTTTTCTTTCCTAGGGTCTCCCTTGTTACCCAACAAAAACCTTATTTGGCTCTATTTTTTCCCATTTGTTTATTTAGTGCCACTCACAAATCATAAAGTGAGAATTGTTTCTTCTAGAGAAGTCTAGAATCAGCATATCATATTTCATGGAAAGAATGAGTCACATAAGTTTTCACTCCTTATCGACAGTGATTAATCCTTTGTCGACTTGATGTCGCCTTGATTTCGCTCTACAAAATTCGCTACAATATGAAGTAGAAATTTAAGAAGTAATTATAAAAATAGGAAAAAGCTATAATTCGAAAGATCTTTGAAACTAACTTTTTCGTTGGTTTTACATCAGACATAGAATTTCGTGTAGAATTAGAATTTGGAACCAAATACAGGGTGTTCTATTAAAAAAATGGCGCCCTACTTTGTGATCGGGTCCTGTATAATTCAAAATATTTTTGAAATATCCAGAATATTCTAGCATATTATAAGAGCACAATCTCGACAAATCCTTCCTTAGGGCCACTACAACACTCCGTGCAATCGTGCACTCTCTCTCGTTTCTTTTACATACATTTTGAATTGGCACACAACGAGCCATTACTAAACAACCAAGAGTAACAACACGAATTTTCAAAAGTGCCCAAACATATGAAAATAGAAGCAATCCTGATCCCAATATTTTTTGCGATCGTGATTGTCTAAGCAAAATGTGTATTGAAATAGAATACGCTATTCTACGCTCATTCATTATATTTTACACGGATTCAGTGGAATTGCGTGACAAAACTAAACGTCTTTTGGTAAAAAATCTGTATTATCAACTTGTGATTGACAGAACGGCTACGGCCTGATGGTGTATGGATATCTAACGTATTTGGTAATCAATCTTGTTAAAGCAATCGATTCAATGAAACTTAGCTACAACCATTAGTTAAACGTAACGGACAATTGCTTTGCGTACTTTGACTGGTTCACCTTTAGAGCCCTAGTTTTTCGTTCTATACACTAAAATAGGAAATTCATTTTTGTACTCATTGAATGGAAAGATAATGTTTCCAAGCATCCTCGATGCACGGGAAAACGACTTTCCCGCATCGCGGTGTTTTTTAGTTTCCGCTGGAGAGAAGGGGTTATGCGCGTTCTTCGGTTGGTAGTACTTATTGAAGTCAACGAACGTCATGTCATGGTTAACTGTCATCTGCTGTAAAATC